AAATGAATCGGAGATGAAAAGTAAATAGCAAATCAGAAAAGAGAATAAAGAATCGTACGATAGAATGTCATAGAATGTCTGAGAATGATTAGTAATCATGAATAAGTGAAGAGGTGAAAGAAAAAAGAGAAACTGTAACAATAGACTTGTTGCAAGAATCTGACAAGCTGTGACAGCAGCAGAAGGCGCGATTTCTAGTTGTGGTTGCGATTCAAGAAAACACATCCATACTTTGATAGACCGTCAGTGCGCCCAATCGCGATAGGAATATTGTAACTGGTATGAGCGGCAATCTTTTTTACTTCAATTGGTACATCATGATGCAATGACCTACATCGCTCCAGGACACAGAGTTCCTCCCACCTGCTGTTCTATGCACCAATATTCAATCACCATTGTCAGGGAATTTTGGAGAGGAAACTATAAACTGTGGGTATGAAGACCTCGGACTTGAGGTAGGATTCGAGGGCACACTAGTACTGCATGCAGCCATATTAATATCAGCGGAACATGGATAAACTATGGCTGTAAGTCAGCATCAAATTCACGAGTCAAAGAGGGGGGCATTCAAGTGTTAGCTTCAGGTACTTATAGAATGGTTGCACGGGGTGTCATTCCATGACTTGCGCTACTTCACTCGTCCTCATGGACTTTGGAGAGAACCAGTAGGTTGCGGTAGTGGTGAGTTGGCCAAAAGAACCAACTCTGGTCTGCAAAGTCTCCACGAGAGCGATTGATCATCTTGATCAACAAGGAGCGAAATTAAATCTGCGCGATCGGATCATCATCAGATATCAGACCAAAATTGCATCTCGATCCAACCAAGCCTTCAGGGGAATCGATGGAAGCCATCTTACCCAATCAAGTAACAATGAAGACCACTGTTTAGGAGTCTCGACGGTTAGTATGGTCTCATTGCGGGTATGCTGCATAGGCATTGGGTACACTATATACCCGGAATCCCCCAAAGCCCCCGCCCCCAGAGAATCGGAGATGGTGGGTTCAACGTTCAACTATGATATCCAACAATATCTAGGACCACATACATAGATTGAAACTACCTATAAACTACACCTCAGCTCAACAGACGGCCATTATTCTTGCTGCATTCTTAGCTGTATTAATAACGTGGAAATAATAAATGGCGGACACACGTTTTCTCCATCTCCGTTATATCACGCGGAAAGAGCCGGATTTGTGCTCCGTGTGTGAGTTTGAGATGTCATTCTCGATGTCGCCCGGTAAGCCGTCGGTATGAGTATGTACAGATTGCTGCAGCGAGACCTGAACACTCCCATACGGGAATGGCGGAGAATAAACCGGCTGTTCGCTATCGGGTGGCCTGGAACTTGCACGTGTCATCCATTGAATGTTCCGCGAAGAAGACAGTGTGCCATTGGCGCGATGGGAATCGCCATGAGATAGACCCAGACCGACGCGGACGATAACGGAAGAGAACTGGAGGAACGGTGCACATGAGAAAGGACGGAAGAAACAGCCAGAGGGAATCGACATACCACGATGCCCTGTGCAGGACGTAAGGTGAGCAAATTGGGAGGGTGAAATACGCAGAACTCACGATAATTGGTGACATCTTGATTAATATGGTATTAGTTTAAGTCTTTCTGGAAAGAATGGCTAGACTTACTGAATTCAAAACAATGAACATGGCTGGGGAGTTAGAAGTATATGTTCCAATCATAACCACGAGTAAGGCTGAGTACACAGAACCTATCGGTACATGAACACATATCAGAGAAGGCATTGCTAGAATTTTTACCAGATTCAACTATGATTGGCACCAAACGAGAGACTTGGTCATCGTTACCCTTTTTGAAGGGCCTGACTATTTTTTGGATCTTCAAAATCTTGAAGGCAATAAGCACTGAAATGCGAATTCAGTCTGGGCCCGAATGTAGATTAAAAAACAAACATGTGCAGATGACATTCATAGCCAGAGTAATTGAGTAAAATGTCTTGACGCGGACGGAGAGGGCATCAGCGAAGACGTTTTCACCCGGAGCGACAAGGCTTAGAGTGTATACCCAGAAAACACCGATAGCTATATTATGTGTTAGCCGAAGCAGTGGGATAGCAGAAGGAAACAAACCAATGTCCGCGATAAATAACAAGAAAGGGAATGCGGCAATGAGATAATTCCTACCCCACAGAATGAATGAGCGGTATAACTGCAGAGATGCTCAGATTTGGATAACAGCAAGTTTAGGATGCGTACAATGAATGCGTCGGACACCAGTGTAACAGCGACATACAGAGTACTCTTTAGAATGTTTTGCCAAGTGTCGAATGTGCTGTAATATTTGGTTGGATAATTTGGCTCTGCCTCGTCTGCGGTGAAAGCCTGCATATTGCGCAGGATATCAATGACAAGATGCTAGAGAATTATCCATAAGATATGTGGACAGTGTTGAGTCGAGGAGACCCGTACTGCCGTAATGAGGATGAACAGTGAAACTGCAGTCCCAACCAAGTAATCACTTGGTCGCGAATGTCTCTTCCTTAGTACAGACATGCATTGATTAAACACCATAAGATATACACCTAGGCAAGGATCAGCACGGGACGCGTATAGAGATGGGAGAACGAACCATATACCAATGACTCCACAAAAACGCCGATGAGCTCGGCCTTCGGGATTGTCAACGCCATGATACTTCGGGTTGCCTGCAATTCGACATGCAGTAAGTGAGACTTCGGAGGAACGTAAAATGCATACTTTCGTGCTGGCGTGTCTAGTAATAAGCGATCGTTGAGTCTGTAGCACGCGCCCCAAATTGTTACCACGATGAGTGATCCCTTGTGGACACACAAAGCAGTAAAGTAAATTTACTCTGCAGTACTAGTGCAGCATTTGATTAAAATAAGCATACAAGCACCGGCGGCTCCAAGATGCTGATTGGGGTCCACAGTGGGAAAAGCAGATTAAGCTTCTCAAACACCCCTTAGGAAACACTCGCCAGATCCTGACCTTGCCGACACAGGCACTTGAACAGGGTTTATTGTGATTATCAGTTATCGCTATCAAGCAGATACGGTGGCCTACGCCGGGCATCAGCTTGTGTGCCAGCAGATAACAAATACTTACGCCGCGGCGCGAAAACGCATGTACCTTGATGTTGCAGGTATTACCGTATGCTGTACGAGGGATAAAGCTCTCAGGGGCCAGGGCCTGCTCTCACACCGTTGCTGTTCTCTGCACCATTGAGCTGGCGCGACTTCAGATTCCGGACTTTCAATGGTAATCGAAGTACATACTATTTGATGCAGAGAGCCGATACCAACAAACAAATTGAAACAACCGTGTGTCAGGAAGCCCAGCTGCGCCGCGCCAGGGCAAGTACTCAATTGGTCCATGAGCGCATGATGCATGATACATTGATGGCCCGGGTCCAATGAACAATGAATCAATGATCACGTGTTCTGTCGATCACACGAGTCGCAGGACTGCCAGAGTCACTTGTTGGCGGCGACTACGTGACAACCTGAGAAGAAGTTTAACCATCACGACAAGTCGACTCAGAACCGTAGGTGAAAACTTTAATGAGTTGTCTAGACATCTCTGATACAGTAATTCTAGCGTGTGGCGGCCGCGGCCGCATCACCAATATTACTATTATCGACGTCAAGTTTGAGTCTGCTGCCAGTGACTCCCGAGACGCTCCCATAATGCATGCCGTATTACGGAGTTATGGCCGACGTCCTGCGGAGGGCCTACTGAACTCATCAAATTACTTATGGCCGCCTTGCCGCCTCGGCCAACCTCTGGTGTACGTCACTCCCTGCCACTCCCGCAACTAATCATAACTAGGTTTCTGATACCACTTGTTGGAACACCTGATGAAGAGGAACGAATATACTGCTGTGCAAATCTTTCAACCTTGGTAAGACCGCAAATTTTGAATTGCAGAAGCATGAATAGCTGGCATGCCACAAGGATGAGGTTGCTTCTCAATAATAAAGGTCTACTTCTACTTCCCATGACTGGTTTCAATATGCTAATTATAATAAATCTTGACAATAGGTGGTCTGAACCAGTCAGCAAAGCCCTACAACTACCACAGCTTTGCTGTTGGCATGCCTTGGCGAAGTATTCGCTGAACACTTTTACTCCAGTGTTTATATATGCACCATTCGCCAATTTTTCTTTATGTCTTTGGTAATCTCCGACATTGTCTACCCTTCAAACTGCGATCTATCAGGATTCAGCTAGGCATCATGTATCAGTTTTGGCTGACGTCGCCAACTGTCCAGCTACAGGCACAACCCGTTCAGATTTGTATCAATATGCCACGCCTTCGACTTTCGAGACATGCAGTATGAATTGTATAATATACTGTTGCGAAACAGAATACTTCCCTGCCTGAAATCTAAGTCACTCCAGAGCCCATCGATGAACTGGATGTCCAATAATCAACTCAAGTGACTGCAATCATGTTCTTCGTCCACTCTGAGTTGCAGTAACTAAAGTTTGGGCTCCTTCCGAAAAACCAATGCTTCTTGATCAACTGGCATGATTTTTGGTGGCAGTGGTCATCCATTCTGGCGCTCTTTCTCTTCATTCTTCATCACTGCTGTTTCAAATCACCGTGTGCAACTTCTGCATCGATACCATTCACTCATCTGTTCTTGATGCTTGGTGTCATGATAAACCAGTGAATTTGATGAGTAGTCTGCTACTCCACGGGGTCATGCTGATACAGTTCGATTGGGTGTGGGCCTGTCGTGTGGTGGCCCGTGGGCAATGGCGGCCCATATACATTAGCACTCAGGTCGTCGAAGTACTTGATAAGAGAACTCCGTTTGAGTGGTTGCTTAGATTATACACCGTGAAAAGACTTGTCGCCCTCTTTCAAATGAGCTTTTGACAATTGGCTGGTCGATATTTGATTTCAAAACTTTTGGGCCATCCAAGGGCCATCCATGCGTAGTTGCATCGGGTAAATCCGACATCATGGGATCTTCCTTGACTTGGTACTACGATGTCGATTGCCTTCGAGATTCCAGGCAAGCGTATCTTGTCTAGTGCTCAGTTGACTGCGTTTCAATCATCTGCTACTCACAACGACATCACATCGTACATCGAGGTTCTGAACGCTTCTGTGGTGGGTGCGAGGCTTACCGACGCGTGCTCGGAATCTCTAGTGCGTTTCCTCCTTGAATTTCATCCTTACATCTAATGCATCCTTCTTGCGCAAGTTCAGGGAATAAACGCCCTCCTCCTCTTGTTGGATCGAATAGAGCAACTAGCTCATGAGACTCCCCCGGTTGAGAACAAGTCATCAAGATTTGGCAACCCTGCTTTCAGGTCGTTCTACGACAAAGTTCAAGCTGTTGGTCTTACAATTCTTCACCCTTCGTGCATCATACTTACTTCTGCCATATTCAAGCTGGCACCGTCATTGCATGCTGACCTTCCCGGCCTGGATCAAAACGCTACGCCCGAATTAACTACCTATTTCTCGCAGGCTTGGGGGAATCGAGAGCGCATTGACTATGGGAGCGGTATGGAACTGAATTTTCTCTGCTGGCTGTAAGTCTTTTTATATTTTCGATTCACTTGGTCCTCATGTCACATCTCACAGGATATGCCTAGATCGCCTGCAGGTTGTTACGGCAAGCGATCACACCGCGCTTGTTACTCGTGTATTTTGGAGGTACATTCTGCAGATGATTATCTTGCTCATTGCTCATGCCTCCCAGATATATTCAAATCATGCGCGTACTTCAATCAACGTATTGGCTAGAACCCGCTGGATCTCATGGCGTCTGGGGTCTCGACGATTATCATTTTTTGCCTTTCCTCTTTGGTTCTGCACAGCTACGAGGCACGTTGCAATTAGTTATAGAGTGCAACGAATCCTGACATTGTCTACTGCAGGACACAAATTTGTAAGACCGAAGGCAATACATGATCCAGAGATCGTAGATGAACTGTCGAAGGATTATATGTACTTCTCTTGCATAAAGTTCATCAACTCCGTTCGTATCTTTCGTGTCGCATGCCTAGTTTCCATCTCAAGATTTGGACATAGATCAAGACGGCTTCACTTAGATGGCACTCCCCAATGTTGGATGACATATCGGCAGTGCGTATTGCGGCCCTCGGTAAATTGACTCGCCTGACCTCTTGTGTAGGTAAAAACTTGGGAAAAAGTTAACTCCGGAATGATCAAGATGTATCAGGCAGAAGTTTTAGGGAAGCTCCCTGTTATTCAACATTTCCTGTTCGGATCTATTCTTCCATACGAAGGACCACCGCCTCCATCTTTTGATGAACCGCATCACGGAGATGGTCATGTACACGAAGGATGGGGTGATTGTTGTGGTATACCCGTACCCAGTGCATTTGCGGCAGCCCAAAAGGAGCGAGAGCCGGGAAAGAGGATCGAGGGTCCAGGCATCCGTCCTGTGCCGTTTGATTGAAACAGAATTCGCGAAGGTGGTTTCCAAGTCACGACAGTGCCTCCATCACAAACATTAGTAGGTTCAGTACTGTATAAATGTGATAGCAATACTCACAAGCAACCTGATTGGCGCCCGTGATCAGAAGTCATAACTTTCTGTCATTTTCCAAGTTGCCAAAGCAATTTCAATGGATGTGAAACCACGGTTGGCTTGATTTTGTTGTCTCCGCTGCCATACGGTATCTGATTTCATCAGAGTCATCTGAATACCATCCTGCTTGCAATCCTGTGACTAGTTTTTTCTGAACTGGCTGACTCGATGACTCCCTAAAGAGAACTGCTCACGAATTAGAGCAGGCTGCAATAGTCCATGAATGCCATTGATCTTTAAAAGACTGAAGTAATGCCAGTATGTTGACTTTTCACGTTCCGCCTCGTCTTTTGGAAGTATATATACTTTGCCTGGCGAAGCCTAGCTAACTCCTATCCGCCCACCCAGTCGGAATTCGGTCACAACTTTGGGGAGGTTCCCACTCTTCAACTTCCTTCCAACTCGACAGCTAGCCTGTCTGAACTAGCGTATAAAAGAAGATCATAACTGAGGATTCAGGACTTCACGCTACTATGCAAAAGTTCATGTTCCTCCTCCTAACATGCGCCACCATAGCGCGCATCACAAATGCGCAACGCGTTTTCGCCCATTTCATGGCCAGCCTTTCAGACACTCCGACTGTATGTCATGTTTACAACCTCATTGCACAGGTACAAAACTCGTATTCATATGCCGAAAGTGATTGGACGAATGATATTACAATTGCTCAGAATATTGGTATCGATGGTTTTGGTACGTCTTGTTCATATCTCTTGTCCAAGCTTTCAATCACTCATGCACGGCTCATGCTTAGCATTGAACATTGCCGCCAATGACTACGAAGTCGACAGGATCGTCGATGCATATGCAGTCGCGGAAGCTTTAGGCTTCAAGCTCTTCTACTCATTTGATATGTCATACACTTGGCAGCAGAGCGACATGGTCAATATCATCGCGAATCACTCGTCAAGTCCAAGTACATTTCTCTGAAACAATACTATACTTGTATCGACATACTCAGGGGAGAGTTACGGAGAGGACTTCTGGGCTAGCTTCAAGAGCTCACTTCAGAGCCAAGGCATCGACATCACACTTGCACCCGCATTCACAACTTACCGTGACCCTTCGGACGCTACTTCACTCGTTTCCACGTTCCCCTCAATTGATGGGTTCTTCAATTGGTGGTCTTGATAGGTGAGGTCGCAAAGAGCATGATAATCCTCTCTCACCAAATGTATCGCTAGGCCTGCCGATGTTGATGCTAACTTAACGACAGCCACTGATCTGGCCTACCAAGCAGCTGTCTCGTCGCTCAGTGGACCGTATATTATGTGTGAGTAGTTTGATCCGAATCTCCACGGCTTTTATTGATATTCAATCGAGCTGTTTCGCCTTGGCAGTTTAAGAACCTTGATGGTGCTGGCGATTGGGTAGAATACAGTGACACTCTCTGGAACTACCGCTGGCAGCAAGCCGTGAATGACGTGAAACCTGATATTGTTGAAATCGGTACTGTAGCTTTATTATTGTGTTGGTCGTAGCTCATCGTGCTCTAGTAACTTGGAACGACTACGGCGAGTCCCATTACATTGGTGATATCAATCCAAATGTAACCCCTCATACCGTCACCGAAGTTATGGCGCGAGTTAATATGCGATTATGTAGGTGTACCTCGGGACACAAGCCCCACTTTACGTCAATGGCTTCACACATGCTGCTTGGCGAGATGTAGCTCAGTACTATATTTTATGGTTCAAAACTGGTTTTGCACCGACCATTACGGTGAGCCATTTGCTAAATTGCTCTTCAACTTGATAATCTTGACTTTCCCCCATCGCATAGAAAGATGAGGTTGTCTTCTGGTATCGTGCATGGCCGAAGGCCGTCAATTGCAGCACTGGATCCCTACCGCGCAATGCTGCATACCCCGAGGACGCCGTTTTTGCACTCGTGATGCTCAAAGACACTGCAACTATCACACTTGCCATAGGTAGTAACACGGTAACATTCACCGCTGGTGCGGGTGTGACTATGGGTTCTGTACCGTTCCCTTCAGAGGATTCACAAATCCCCTATATTGCGATCAGCAGAGATGGCACAACGGTTGTCGACACCCATGGCTCGATGTATGTGAATCAAACTGGATGTACGTACTACAATTTCAATCCTTTCGTTGGGAGTATAATCGAGTGATGTGTTGTAATTATTATAATGTAAGACAAGGATTCCTTTCGGTTGGCTCTACGACAATATATTGTGTTTACGGTAGCAACTCAGAAAATACTATATTAGCATCGTCTCTGCAAATAGACAGTATCTCTTCGCTTCTTACTCTCGACAACGCTGTACACAATCGACCATGAGCGAAGGGATCAGTTCGGAGGTCGAGCACTAGCATCAAACCTTAACATCCATTAAATGTGGTTGCACATACGGATCACAGAGGAAACCGTCTTCGATTCACTGTCTATAACGAACGGTTTGTATGGAATGCAGGGGATGCAGTGGCTTTCAAATATATTGAAAAATTAGACTTTGAGGAAGCGACAATGCAGTACGACGACGCGCACACGCGTGTTTCTGACTAACATTGCAAGGTAGTCGAGTGTATATTCTGGGTTCAATGCAGTCTGCACAGCTTCTTCAGGCAGTCCGAACTGAATTAAGATTCTACATGGCTTCGTCAGTGAAGTGTGTGATTGATATCAGTTGCAATACTTACGAAAATCGCCTGGCAATTTGTCTGGAATTTTGTTGTTGAAAGGGGAAAGTAATGCACGATCAAGACAGGTTTTCAGCGTCTTCTAGATTTGTGGGATTCCAGAGAAAGTCATTAATGGTGCCGTCGAAGTTTGTGGTCCGTGAAATGAAGCGGAGGTCGCCATAGTACTGAGCAAAGAGCCAGATAGAACATGAACGCATAACAAAGAGCGTGACTCAAGAGAAGACAAAACGCAACTTAATTTCGGTGTAAAACCAAGGTGCATTTGAAAAAAATCTTGATCTGCACGTCAGTTCAATGAGATACTTTGAAGCTGACAGTACATCGATTGTTGAACGTTGAGATGCCCTCAGCGGTTCATGAAGCTCCTCTTGTCGCACAGCGCACAGCACTCACATATTTCTTTGAGAACATTCCCTTTGACCGTCAGGCAGTCAATGTAAACATCTCAAGTAACATTGAAGTATCCGATTCACTCAATTTTGGAAGGAGATTCGCAGATCAGGGTCCCTGATCTCAGAATTTCCTTCCAAAATATGCATGATCCTGCTGCTGAGATTATCATTCCTGGCCTTGCAGAAATTGCATTCTCACAAAACCGTCCTGAGGACACCTTATAGTATAAATTAGTGATCCGTCCGTAGGTCCGAGTCGAGCACGGTTGTGCCAGTGTCAAACCTTGACATAACAGGACAAGATCGTGGATCTCAGGGTGTGGTACAAATGAGCAAGATGGTGGTAGTCTGTAAGGCGAAAGGTAGTGATATGTATGGGGATTTCCCACGTGACTGTTGGTGTCGTAAGCATTTGGCCTACCTTTTCTGACTACATAATCCCTTTCTATCAAGAGGTTTCGTTGAATGGCGCAAATGCAGTGTGCTCGGTTTCTTTCAGGCTGTCTGAAGTCCAATAAGATTCTGTGTCGTCTCCGTCGTATCACCAAAATTTCTTTTTTTCAATCTGATATCTGCTTCCATTTACACCGTGAAATGAAGTAGAAGTCGCCATGGTAGCGAGGAAATAACCGCAAGTCTTTGTGCCAGGTTACGTAGCCGCGCGGATCAGCTGTGTGCGGGTCAATATTACGTCTCTATGCAATTTCGTAACTAAAACACATGCGGATTATAATGCAACGTCCAATGAATATGAACCCAACAGCAGAGCAAGTAAAGAACGTCCTATGGTATTGAAAAGAAAGTCAAAAGAAAGAGGAGTCTACCAAAGGCATTCCCTGTCACATAAGTTTAGGTTCGTGATTAGATCCACCATCGAAACATAGCGTTCTGATCGCGTTCTGGTACTATGTAGGAGTCCGTCCGTCCGTCTCGTGTCTAAATACCACCGTCCCATTTCATGCTTGCCTTAATAATACCCGGTCAATTGCAGCATTGATCGTCCCCTTCCGTGACGTCAAGTCCATCCCAAATTGTTCTTCGAGCTGACGCCGTATCTCGCGCTTCGTCACAGAATTGAGGTCGGCAGTGCGGAGGATCTCATGGACGGCATGATCAAGCTCAATATCACTAGGAACACCTGGTGCCAAGTCCATATCCTCATGACTGCGCGTGGTTGGTAGAGGCATTTCAAGATAGTTCGTTGGTGGCTGCGACGGCATGGGTTGGTACAACATGCCAGTGTCGCCCATGGGCCGCAACTGTGACATCGGCGTGTTGCGACCTGATTGGTATCCAGGGGGTGGGATCATGCCAAATTGTGATGGCGCAGGTGAATGGCCGCGTGGCTCGTAGTAGGTCTCGCGGCCATATAACGACGCAGTAGCTGATGCTGCATATGCTTCCTTGTGGAACTGATTGGGAGGTACCCACGAGCCCATACTGTGGTTCGACTCCTTGTCCCAAAGCTCATTTTCCTGTAAACCAGGTAAGTAACATGTCTACGAGGGACTGAATTCACGCACGTAATCATTCCAAGACTTGAGAGGAATCGCACGCGGGTCGAACTTGCCTTCGTCCTAAAGAAACTTCATCAACATCGGTCAAATCACAACGACTAGAAAACACCTGCATGAACAATCATCTTCTTGCCAGATTCACCCAACACGACACGGGTAGCACCCCAAGAGAAGTCATCCATACGCCAGAACGAATAGAGCGGGAGCATGAGAGAGAAGATCGGGACAGCCAAAATGTAGAAGACCATCCATCCAACCATGTCCCACTTGCGCCGGAGGATAAACACGAGGGCTTGTAAACCATACACGGCGCCGATCATGACGAGTGAGATGACAGGGAGAGTCTCCTGATTGGTGGCGACCTCCACGATGAGATACACAATCTATAACTTCAAATCAGAACCCGAAGAAAACCCAAAAGAGAACCGAACGTACGTAGCCGACACTGATAGGCTGGACGATAGTCGAAACCAAATCGATCATGACGACAAACCGCATGGAGAAACAACAGAAACCACAAAGCTGCTCCAAGAACATCAGCTCTCCAAGGTTGTGAACCGTCGAGTTAATCCAGCGACGGCGTTGAGAGAGCAGAATTTTCCAGTCATCAGGCGCTACGGTGTATGCATGGGCGTCGCGAACGAATTGTGTCTTGTACATCGGGAAGTGCTTCAGGAGGAGGGTAGTCAGGTATCGGTCTTCTCCGAGGTGCAACAAGTTCTTCATGTGCAGGGTATCGACGCGATTCTGCGAGTAGTCCTGGACCATTTGGTTGGATATCAAAAGCGGCTTGTGGGTATCGGGAGTCCGCAAACGATATAGGGTGAAACAACCAGGCAAACAGGTAACAGATCCGAACAAACTCTCGAAAGCCTTGGCCATGTGATGCGAGATGAAGTACTCGTAAACCTAGACATACATTAGAATTTCCAACCACTTCATAATTCTAAAACAAGCTCGCCTGCATCATGGTGATAATCGACTGCTTCGAGTTTGCCAGCTCGGTCTCACCACAAACACCAAGCACCTTCTTGTCATGAATACACCTACAGAAAAATAAACATCAACCCCAATTCCCATAGTGACGAACATCGACTTACGCAGAGATCAACCGGTTGACAGAATAAGGCTCCACCATCGTATCAGCATCGACCGTAAACAGATACTCAAAGAACGTCGGGTTGACACCAATCACATTCTTGATCTGGTGGTACATTTCTAGTTCGAGTGGGTTCATAGGCGTACTGAAGTGAACCTGCGCAGCTCAAGTGTAAGCGCCAATTCTCGCCATTCTACTGAAGACCCTCACCTTGTTCAAGAAATGCATGATCACCATTTGAGAATCACGCTTGCCACGGTTACCAGGCCGCGACCGCTCAGACGGCTTGCCTATCTTCACCACGACCAAGTAAGGAACGACGTGTCCAGCGCACTCATACAGACCAGAGTAGACCTTGCCCATGTTATGCTGCCTCGCACCCTCGCCCAACGAGACGAAACTGAGCGGCTCAGGGTCGAGATTAGGATCAGCTCCAAGGATGTCAAGCACAATGCGCGGCGTGGGACGGTCATTCCCAGAACCAACGATATTCCCATCACAGATAACAAGAATAAGTTTCCGCTTGTCGTCATATTTAAGCTGCGCCAGCGAGTCGATGGTCTTCCGCAATGAACTCTCGCCTTCTGTATAACAAGGAACCTGGCAAATAACGAACTTGTCATGGTCTTCAGGCGCACGAGGAGACGCAAAGTTGATGGAAGCGATGAACTTGAATCCAATGATGCTGACCATCAAGATCGACAGTGCGAGCAAGATACCCTCGGCGAACTGGCACTGTGGCGAATTACGGTTGTCTACCATACCGATCAAAAACAAGTTGCGGAGACAGGTACGTTGACTATCCAGCGTAGCACTATCAAGATTGAGAGAGTCGAATTGCTTCGTCAGATCCTGCCCTGAGTTGTACTTGAAAAGGTCGACGACGGATACGTCCATGAATTGATCGTCAATGGTCCCAGGAAGCTGCTCGCCATATGGAGCTTGGACGGCAGGTCCGTAGTTGACGTAGGACGTGAGATCGTAGATCATACCGTTGTAAATACCGAGCGAATAGCCGGAGCTGGCCATGGTGCTGATCTCCTGTGGCGTGTAACCCATGTATCCGACGCGATTGTTCCACCGCATGATGGTCATACTCTCAAAGTACCAATCTGGACGGGAATCATTGGTGAAAGCGCGGAAGTCGTGGTAAGAAGCATTCGGATCGGTGTCGTTGGCAGAGCTGAGAGTCACATAGGGACTGACGGAGCCACTCACGCCGTTACATAATGCGGAGACCTGAAAACTGGTCAGAAAGAATCAACTCGTGAACGCATCCCGCTGACCTGAACGGGGAAAATCGCGTCTGATGCAGTACCGCCATACGTCTGAAGGATCGTCTTGACAGGCACAATACTAACAACGCGCTGATGCGTGGACGCAACAGTCGTAAGATCAAACACCTCCCCCCGAACCGACGTATACACATTATTTGGTGAAGACGTATACGAATGCGACGCCAGTTCCGAAGTGCTGAAAACATGCTCCGTGGGGCAAATGATCTTGCCCAGGAAGACGATGACGAAAACAGCGCACGCGCAAATGAACCAGATGATGAAATTGATCGCGAGCTTTTCTCTCCATGCTTGTCGGATATCTTCACGCTTCATTCGGCCGATCCATTTAAGAAGGAGAGAGGGCATCCACCATGTCAGAGCCCAGCACATCCCGACCCAGCGACGACGCGCAGAAGATTCCTTAAGCACTTCAGTCGTCTCACTGTCTCCGATCTCACCAGGCAGTGCTTCTTTCACCATGAGACCCTCCTTGTCTGCGTTCTGGAACATGTTGCGGGAAGGTGCATAGGATTCAGTACCGTAGTTGGAGTTTGAGTCGTCTCGGTTACTCGTGAGGCGGCTGCGATTGTCAAAGTCATCGCTGCGGAAAGACTTGCGCTCTTCGTACTCGTCATCGTACAGATCAGCGCGCTGGAAGGGGGACGCGTTAGAGACAAGAGGAAGAGCAGGGTCCGAGAAGGCATTGACGAACGGCGACTCCTCGCCATTATTAGCACCAGGCGAAGAGTAGGGAGCATAGGGGTCGCCGAAGCCACGGACATCAAGTCCAGCCTCAGCCTCAGCATCACGAACACGGTTGCGCTTCTGTTCCTCAACATCCGATGCACGAATACGGTCCTCGAGCGCGTGGAATGCCATTTGTGATAGGAAGACCTACAAAGATGTTTAGCACACGTCTCAGCTACGTTTTCAATTCACTTGCCTTGTATTGCCCAAGGACAACGTCCCGCTCCTTCAACGACAGCGCAGTCCGCGTCTGCTCAACACGCTCCCTCGGAGTTCCCTCCGAAATGCCCAAAGCTGAAATCGGATCCCTATATCGCTGACAAAACTCTTCTGGTGTCATCCCCACCTCAAACACATTCACATTGCGCTTCGCAACCTCCGTCATGCCCAGACTTCGCACCTGGCCCTTGACAGAACGACCCTCGAGCTGGTTGGGCAGCTGCGAGTCATTCGGGTTGATGCAGAACACGTACCAGTTCTGCGTGTCTCCTAGAGTCTCGAAGAGCGTATCAAGTGCAGAACGGAACTCGCCTGCGACGCAGGGTGTGCCGCTTCCGGCAGATGCGGTGATATCGTCGTCGTCCCGATCCTGTTCTTCGATACCGCTTTCCCGCAGCGTGGGCATGCGTTTGATTGTACCCTTACGGCGGGTAGAGGGGGCACGCATGGGTTTGACGGGCTGTTGAGCGGCAACAATGGTGTCTTCATTTTTGGGGTGGGCTTGTGTTGCAATAGCCTTGCCCGAGAAGAGACCTTTGACGAAGGGGTTCATTGACCCAGCACCCTCTGCGCCATCAGATATGCCCGAAGCTGAGCCACGCAGAAGAGAGACGAAATCGGGGTTAAGAGCATCGAGGTTACGGTCCAAGAAGCCCTCAGCGGAGTAGGTGACAGGGCCATTGAAGTGATTGACGGTGAACGTGGGGAAACCTGAACGATCTATGGCACCGACTTTGAACGATGAGTGGTTGCCCCAACGCTTGCCAAAGGCTTCCACCATCGAATGATCAGTCTTCTTATGCGAGCGACGAGCCTGGTCATCCATGATGTGGATAAGACCACCCGGCTTGTTTTGAAGCAGCCGCACGCATTCAGCATTGTCGAAGTAGGCGACAGTGGGGATGAAACGTGAGATACCCTCGTTCTGGTATTCATCCACGTGGGCCTCGAAGATACGTCTCTGGACGAAGTTTTGCAGGCGCTCATTGGCAAAGTTGACACAGAACTGATCAAGAGAGTTGGGGCGACTGGTCATGTTCTGTGGTCCGGGGAGATCAAAAAGGCCGATGAATGTGTCAAAGTCTTCGCGGCACAGCCGCTGGTTGATATGCTCGTTCAACCATGCGAAGAGAAGGGAATATAGCGTTTTTGCGAGGTCATCACGGTTATCAGATGCACCATCGGGGTCGAGGAAAACAGTGCAGAGCTCCTTCTTCACAAGCTTAGTTTTGTAGGACATTGCGCCCTCCAAAGCACCCGCTTGGACACCCAAGAATTCGGCAACAATGCCAAGAACATCTGTGTTGCGCACGACAGCAGCATCAACATCACGACCACGGTCAACGGTGAACTCGAGGTTGCCAAGGTGGAGAATGGCAGCGAGAAGCTGGCAAGTCTGAGCAACGTGTCGCTTGGACAAGCCGATTGTCTTGAGAGCGACTTTGAGCTGCTCAAAGCGGTTGGCGTCATCATCCCGAACGCCGTTTTGGCGTGCTGGGACAGCACTACGCTGACCGAGATAACGGTACTGAGTTTTATCCAGGAGGTGGAGGTGCTGGCGCTCTTCCTGAGTTGCACCTGCCACGAGGTAGTAGAAGATGTGGAAGTTACGCTCTCCGGATGGCACGGAAGATACGCGGTTGCGCTCGAGGTAATAGTCGAGGGTCTTGACACCGGAGAGGCGGCCACGGTCAGTGAACTGCAACTCTGTGTATTTACCGAAGCGAGAAGCATTCGGGTTGAACAAAGTGCGGGCGTTACCAAAGGACTCGATGACAAACTCTGCGGCGGGTAATTGGGTAGCGAGTTTGGAGCCCTTCTTTCCTGGATTGGAGACGGAAAGTTCAAGAATGGTCTTTATGGCGAGTCTGCGGTTCTCTGATTTTCCGCTGCCGGTCTCACCACTAGAATGAAAGCGGTGTTATTTTAGATGATGCAATGCATTTGTTGATGGGAGTTACTGACCTGATGAGAATAGACTGGTCCTGGGTAGTTCGTTTCATGTGGTAATATGCATTATTTGCGAGCTGAAAATATGAGGGGACATTGGAGACTTGTTTTCCGATGTGTCACGATAGTCTGAGGCATTTTTGAAGGACAGAGTCGGCGTTGGAAGAGACATACTTGTGGGGGTTCACGGCGACGAGGGAATTGGTACCGATGTTGGTATAAATTGATTCAGACATGAAACGCTCACGAAGACATGAGACAATGAGATCGTCTGATATGGAAGACAAGCCAGAGAGGTCGCTGGCGGCCTCAAGCCTCTGGTGGACTGACATGCCAGCGGACTGGCGGCTCATGGCGAGCGCGTTGCTAACCAATTACCCTGCTAAAGAAGAAAGTGAGAAGATTGGGTAGGAAAGAAAGGAAAGAAAATGCTCTGGCAGACGCAGAGAAGACGGTGATGGATGGAGCAGGGAAAGAAGCGAGTGAGACCCGTTGAACGGTTGTAGCTGAGCAAAAGGGAAACTGTCCTAATTCCAGCTAACCTATCCAGGTTTCCGGTTTTCTCACGACGGCCATTGCCCAACACCCGGCATCACACAGACTAGAATAATTGCTTCAAAGTCATCGTCGTCGTGGGTAGTGAACTAATAATCATCGCAGCAGACAAGCCCAAAGCATGAAATTATTTGATTGAAGTCTTCGTTGAACGAAGTTTGTGTAACAGATACCACGTGGACCGGTTCAAGAGGAGAGACAAACAGCAGTGACTACTTAGCAGATCCTCGCCATCCCATCCTCAGTCTCCACATTAGCCCTCTGCAAAACACTGGGTTTCCTCCCTTCCCCAGCTCTCGCAGCTGCAGCACGCATGCGCTTATGTTCCTGTTCAACGCGCAGTGCATGGGACTTTGTCACATCTCGAGCCAGCGCAGGAGGAATCCCACCCCTCGGCGGTTGCCCATACCCACAAGACACCCGTGACTTGGCTTGACGGTCTCTGCTCTTGTTCTTTGCTCCTGTGCGTTGAGTTGAGGCGAGTACGACTCGTGTTCGTGGAAGCTGCGCAGGGGGATGTGGCGATGGCTTTGATGCGGCTCTCACGTCTGTAGCCAGCGTGGCTAGGTATGTTTGGACATGCACCGGTTTATCAAATGCCTGGGGAACGTGGTGTAAGGTTGAATTTGAAATTGGTGAAGAGCACGTTAGATCCTCGTGACCGACTTCGATGTCTTCGCAACCACTGGGAGGCACCCATCCAAGCATTGGAGAGGCATTCGACTGTACGAGCGAATATGGCTGAGTGATCTCTTCCTCATCTTCATCAAAGTAGTTGAGGTAAACATCCATGTCCTCGAAAGAGGCTAGCGGTGGCTTCTTGATAAGCGTTTCCTTCATGATTTACAAAACACTTACCTGCAGGCTCATCCCATCTTGACACCTCCGTCCCAGTGCACCCCGACGTCGGTGCGAAAACATTGACCTTGCTCTCTTCCACCGTTGCCTGGCCCGGAATAACTTCAGGATCGGGGCACAAGATGTGCGCGAGGGACATCACGTTCGGTCGACGCAAGGGTATGGGCTGTACGATTGCATGCGCTACAACTTCCGCCATGGCCTTCTTCTCATTGGCCTCATACTCTCTCACAATCTCCACTAGTTCATCGAAGCTCGAGGAGGAAGCGAGATGCGTTGGCGGAAGTGTAGTATGAAGCGGTCTCAAAGCTAAAAGAGTGGAGGGGTTTAAGGAGTGCATGGTATAGACAGTGCTAATCGCTCAAGAGAAGAATACTGGAACCAAAGCCCGATATAATGGACTTTAACATAACTCGTCAATGTCAGCCAACGTCAGCCGAACGATGTCTGCTATCCTTGTGGAATAATATTATATGTTATCATATCTGGACTTACATCAAGGCCTTGTAGTCTAGAGGTACGATACTTGCTTTGGGTGATCACAAGTGCAAGTGGCCTGGGTTCGATTCCCAGCAAGGCCCAGATCTTTTTGACATTTTGTTCTCCATTTCGAGTTAATTATACCCTGCCGCACTGCAGCCGCGGCCTTTGTTACTTATTCCTCTGTTTTTAGGATCACTGTAACGATGTTCTACCAGCGCACACCGTGGAGGTTTCCAGAAACCTTGTCAAGCAAGCTTGTTTTATCATTGGCCACAGGGTTATCGTTGTCCCGAGAATTCGCTCAGCATTCAAATTCAAACAGTTTAAACTTTTACCAGTCTGTCTATCGGCAGCTTGCCTCGTAGACGGGCTGGTCACGAGTCCATCCAACAAGAGGTCCCGTGTCACCGTAGTGAATCGGATGTCGAATAACCGGCTTGATGCTATTTCGCCTATCATAAGATATTGGACACCCACGGCTCATCACTGCTCAGACCGATTCAGACCCACATTCTCGATCAGACATCTAAATTTCATTCCTACCATCTTGTCCCAGCCCACTTGACATCATGATGATGGAAACTTTCATCACGAGTGTCAACTATGCCGCTGGTGTCGCCGCAATTATAGTGTTACTCGTCATGTTATACAAGACATCTCCCTTAGCAGGTAGGAAGGGCATCCCGCTTCCACCTGGACCTCCCGCCCGTTGGTTCTGGAGCAACGCTTTGCCTGCTGTGAAGTGAGTTTTGGCAGCCTTATCTGAGATATCAGAAACTGATGCAGATCGTCTGCTCAGCATTGCCCATGCGCTGACCGACTTGGTTCGAGAGTATGGGCCGATTGTGTCGTTCCAACAAGGTAGCCAAGTGATAATTGTGATCGGCAGCATTGAGGTATACTGCCTATACACCGAGTTCCCTCCGACAATGACAAGATATTGTCTCTTTACCAGGCAGCCACAGACATCATGGAGAAAGAGGGCGGGTCACTGGTAGATCGACCTCGGTCCATTGCCGCGGGTGAGATGCTCTCAAATGGCATGCGCATAGTCCTGGCTCGTTCCGGAGATCAATTCCGGCGCCTCCGAAAAGCAGTACACACCCATTTACAGCCAAAGGCGGCAGAGGCATACAAAGATATGCAGCGCAAGCATGCGATGGATTTTATATTGGACATGTTGAATGACCCAAAGAACCACCAGAAGCACGCACATCGGTACGTTATTGCTAATACCTTTTGTGGTCTTTTCATAGATATGGTACCTCAAGGTATGCAGCATCGGTCATTCTTCGGGTGACTTATGGAAAGTCTGCGCCTACTGCCAACACCGATCCCGAAGTTGTCCGTATCCGCAGAGCTGTTAAACATTTCCAGGCTACAACTCGCCCAGGAGCTAATCTCGTCGATCGTGTGCCCCTTTTGCGCTACTTGCCTGGTTACGGAAAACAACTTGATGAGTGGCATCATGAGGAGCTGGAGCTATACAGGCATCAACTAAGACGCGTCAAGAGTGAAGTGGTGAGGAGCTCTGTTTCGATAAACGTATGTCACTTATATCGTGTTGTACCCAGGATCAAAATACAGCTGGCTCCTCTTTCGCCAAGACACTATTGGAGAACACAGAAGGATACCAACTCTCTACAGATGAGATGTCGTATCTCGCCGGATCACTCTTTATGGCGGGATCTGACACGGCAAGTCGTGCAACTTATTAATTTCCGCGAACTTTACTCATTTTTGGTTCAGACTGCTATTGGAATAACCGCTATTATCATGGCCGCGGCATGCCATCCACTGGCTCAGGCAAAGGTACATGAAGAGCTCGATATGGTTATCGGGTCAGACAGAGGTACGCCAAAGGGCTACAGAGCGTTCGATTTCTCCATCAATTTTTCGTGTTAGCGCCGATATTCGAAGACTCAAGCTCGCTCCCTCAATTGCACGCATTCTTGTTGGAAGCTTTGAGATGGAGACCTATCGTTCGCATAGGTAGATTTTAAATTCGGCACACTTCTGCATGATGCTGATATGCGTCTCAGGATTTCCCCACCGTGCAACTAAGGATATTTTTTGGGTCAGTGTTTCAATTTCGTTGTGATCCACGTACGTTCTCATTCTAGTCTGTGTGCGATCAGCAAGGATATTGCATTCCCGAGGGTGCAACAGTCTATGGGTGCCATTGGTAAGGTGTTGCTGCACGATGCACATCGCTTCATTAATCGCACGTTTTCAGGACTATCTCCCGTGACCCTATCGCCTTCCCAGATCCTGATGTTTTCAATCCCCAGCGTTGGCTTGATTCAGAAGGCCGACTTAAGGATAATATGAACTCGAAGCTCGTGACATATGGGTTTGGTAGACGGTAAGTCGTGCCTATATCGTTTTCGACACCGATCAACGAAGTTCACGAGTCATTAAAAGTGTATGTCCCGGCCTGCACCTCGCAAATCAGTCATTGTACATTACCCTCGCACTTCTTTTGTGGTCTTTCCGCATTGCTCAACGACCTGACGCCCCAATCAACACGCACGCTTTCAGTGACGTGATTATTGCCCATTCAGCGCCGTTCGAAATTGATGTCATTCCCCGGATGAATGTTGCGAAGCTGAGAGACATGATGACAACCGATGGACGTATGGATTAGAGATATCATGTAGGAATTTGTCCCCGATGCCTCCGCTTTTTCTGAGGACCCGTCTTCAGGAAGATTACTCCTTCAAAGGTGTATAACCATTGTTTATCAATCTGGGTTCGGCACAATCACCGCATTCCCGGGGCTTGCAGTAGGAATCAAGTAGTAATTTTTTCGTTCTATCTATGTACCATGTTTTCACAGTCTACCATATGTAAGGAAATGGTCGGAAGCAATTCGCATGACACCCATGTGTGAACCGTGTCTGCAGAGCGAACGCCCACGCATATATAACTTGAATACCAGAAGAGCTCTCGAGTGTATGCGGCACTTGCTAGTCACTCAGGGAGTTTATACATGCATCGATGCATCCTTACGCCGTGCCAAATCCGAAATGATCCTACCACGATGTCAGCAACTGAAACCCACATGAATCGAGGCTACATGGGTCACAATCAGTTTGGCCATATATTATGCTGTCAACAGCATATGAATATGCGCCATGGCCAGCGTACCACGTATCCTGCCAGCTCGCAAAGGTGCAGCCATAGAAAGAAACATTTGCATAGCTGAAGGAGCCAACGAGAGCTTGAGAAATCGAGTAGTTGGCCTGAATCGCCGAGATTGTACGGATGTGAGCGTAAGAAAGACGTCGAAGCTCACAGCACGATTTTCGAAGTCAATATTATACGCTTTGAAGTCAGTGTTACCGAACTGCTGTCCATGGGGGCGCGCAACGGTGAGAGTCGCAGCGTTGGTTATCCTAGGTAGGATATGTAAATTGTTCCAAATGTGAACAAGGTTGCGCTGAGAAGCATTCCCCGCTGGGTCGCAAGCAGTGTCAGGATGAAGCCGGCCCTATACAAAAATGTCTCGCCAATTAAACTTCACAGATAAAATTGACAATTACCAGAAGAGTGAGCGGTGCGGACCGCGTAATATTGACCATTTCAAAGTATTCCTCATTAGAATTATTGCGTTGCCCGTCTCTGGCCTGTGCGAGTATCAAGACATGAGGCAAAGGACAAACTTTAGTTGCTACCTACAGGGACTCCACAGCAGCTTGGACAGTTTTAAAACTTGCTCTGCTATCTATGGCCGACACAAACAGTGTTCCATTTGGGCATCCAGTCAAGGGAGAGGTTTCTGCATTCTGTTGTAATTGGCATGCAGAATAGTGCGGGGAGAGGGCATGAATTTGCACACTCGAGCTGGCCTAGAAATGCGCAAAGCACTGCAAAGTATGCCAAATATTGCCCGATTGGTGTGATACCTAGGGGGAGTAATGCTATATGCCTACCATCGCTCGTCGCACTTATCAAGAAAATACCCACATCCATTTCCAAACCATGGGGGGAGAGAACAGGCGGTAGTGATCATGCGAGGTAAACATGCCGAATCAAGAAATCCGATTTGTCCGACAGAATTCCTAAGCCGCCGATGCAGCGTGCGAGAGCACTCAAGTCAGGATCTATGTAGACTCATCACGAATGAATTATCAATGGGCTGGTCTCCCCAAGCCAACCCGACTGACGGATAGTCATTCCTTCGCATTGAGCCAACCCTGATGGCTTGAAGGATCGCCGTTACTCGGGCCACGGAAAATTTGATGACGAGGTCGGACTCGCGGCACACCGTGTGGATCGACCATCATGATCACCGTCATGACAATGCACACTAACACTAGACCATGCCTGCCATACCGCAGCATGTGATGAAAAGCGGGAAAACGTGATAGTAAGTGATGGTACATTTAGCATGATTTATTGTGACCGAATTGTTGACAACTGCCATCATCGCCACGCACGGTAGTATTGAGATCGGTGGTGACGAAGTTCGGATGTTCGAAAACACATGAGGACATCGGCAACGGAACGATTATACATCCGTGATAATGCAAGCGCTTTATGGTACCTTCCTGTCGTGAAGGTGCTGTTACCTCGTATATCATGGTAGGCTACGCCAATGAGAGTCAACAGCTTCACTCACAACCGTCTCCATACGAATTTGTGTACCATCAGTCTTTGAGCTGCAAAGCTCTTTCTTTTGCTCTATTAATACACTGCAACAACACATCTTCCGAGATCGCACCGCCCGACTCAGTAGTGCTGATGAGCTCCCCTCGGTCATCTACGATAACCGTCAGCGTCACGTCCATCAGGGGCTCTTCGAATGCAGTGAGATCTGAGAGAACGTGAGATCTAGGAGGAGAGTATGAGTGCATAAATAACATGTCTTTGAAAAAGCGAGCAGAGAACGTACGTGTCCAACACTCCAAAAGACATCGAAGCAAATTTTCGAGTCAATTGTACCTGCGATCGAGTTTTCCGCGAACACGTGGTGCGCCCAGTTTCTTCGTTGTAGGTGGCTTTGGGCAACGTAGCTAGCTTGCGTCAGTAATGATGCGGCATCCCCCTAGCACGTTCAACTCACTATTTCTAAGCGCGCCCAACATGGCTAGCAGTGCCGCGTCAAACGCATTTCCATCATAATTTATACACGTGCAATCCACATAAAGCGTCCAAACAGCTTTTCCGGGGTGAATGCACAATGAAGATAATGAAAGCGCGTCTGAGCTGTGTCGAAGAAGAAAAGACATGAGTTCAAAGTCAAATAAACATAGCGCGATGAGTTACGCGACGAGAGCTTCGTTTAGTCTATCAGAAAGGACTTGAGCTTCTTCTGTCGGAGGACCTGGTTTGAATTTTGGAGAGCAGATTGCGGGCAAATCGATGTTGGGTACTAAGCAAATTTCGAACTAATCAGCTCCTACTGTTATGTGTAGAAGGAAGGAAAGGAAGAATCACCTAAAAACCCTTGTTCAGGGCGATCGAGCTCGGGCTCTGCGATTTCTGCCTTGACACCACAAACAATCGTGGTACCTCCCATACGCACAAGAGCAGAGCCATCAGCCGTTGATATCGATCCTGCAGCGAGCACATCATGGCGTAAGCACTGAAAAGCTGAACAAATCGCGTACCGACATTCACAGAAACGTTGCGCCATTCATCGAATGTCCGTCCATCTGGCCTGATTTTTTCAGCAATAAACCTCTCGAGATAAACGCGAGGATGTAGTCTCTGGAAAATTTGAGCGCGGAGAGTTTCATCCGCTACGGACGGATTTGTGACGGATGAGGAAGACATGAAGGGGAGCTACATATATGATCGATTTGGAAATTTCGGAACAGGTCACTGCAAGAACGTCTGGGAAATGGCTACTCCGGGGCTAATCTACGTAGACTCTTGGGGCCAGTCTAAGGCTTAGGCGGCTGGCTTCGAACGGAGCTTAAACGTTGCTAGACAGTGGTGACTGATTGTATCCTGAAACAACGCGCGCTCGTCGTGAATCGTGATGCCATTGCGGTGTGTAGTACGGTCTTATCAATAAATTCTCAAATTTCGTCTGCTCAAGTCACACTTGGTACGAAGAAATCTACAAATACATTGAATTTGAACTAACTTAAATCATGAGAGTGCAAAAGCAGATGGCGGGAGGCGTGATGGTACATCAACTCCGCTCGAACGCACCCCTTGCGGTCACTTAGTTAGCCAGAGCCCAGAGGGGCCAAATCCCTGACTTTCACGTTAATGCAACTTCATTCTATTGCAATTATACAACATATAAATTCCTTGGTAGTAACTACAGTACAAATGAGTAGATGAATGATTGTGGTAGTACTACAAATGCGTAGTCGTGAAATGTCATTTGCGCCCAGTCAAAAAGCAGAGAAAGAGAGAACAAACAAAAGAATATAGAGTGAAGGTCGAAAGTATAGCTATCACGGTAGTAAGTTAGAACCGTTAGAAAAAAAGAAATTCCAATGATAAAAAGAAACAAATACAGCAGCCAGCGAGCCTTTACTCGCTAACCCATTCTCCACCATTTGCAAGCCTGGCAAAGAGGCCCTTGCCCTTTATGAGACTCTCATATGTGCCTTGCTCGCGCACCTGGCCATCCTCGATGACAAGAATACGATCGCACATCTTCATCACGGGCACCTTGTGTGTCACCATGATAGTAGTCCTCCCAACCTTCGCAGCCCGTATCGTCTCAAGGACAGCCGTCTGGTTGGCAGGATCGAGTGCTGAAGTACACTCGTCCAAAATAAGAATCTTGGCAGGTCGTCCAAGTGCACGTGCGACTTGCAAACGCTGCGCTTGTCCACCTGAGATGAGAGATGCGTTCTCGCCGATGAGTGTGTCATAGCCCTGGGGTAGTGACATCACGAATTCGTGGACGTTCGCTGCCCGAGCAGCGCGCTCGACATCTGCATCGCTCATTCCGTTGTCCTCGCCGACTCGTCCGTAGGCAATGTTTTCTCGGATGCTTGCGTCGAAGAGGTTGGGTGTTTGGCTGACGACGGCAACATGGTCGCGAAGATAATCGATATCCGTTGCACGGAGTTCGTTGAGGCCCACTGAGATGGTGCCCGAAGTAGGCTCATAGAGACGTTGGAGGAGCGACGCTACAGTTGACTTGCCGCATCCAGAAGTGCCCACAATCGCTACGCACTCTCCATCTGCAATGCGCATCGACATCTTGTTCAAGACAGAGACATCAGGGTTGGTAGGGTAAGAGAATGACACATCTTTGAAGACAAGATCGCCCTCGATCCTTGGACGAAGGATACCCTGAGACTCGGAGCTAGTGGTGTCTAGCTTGATGAGCTCGTACAGATCGTGCGTGGCCAGAACAGACTTGGCAATCTTTTGGGTGAAGGACATGAGTTGAGAGCCGATGGAGACGGTGAACACGACGAGGTTGAGGACTTGACACATCTGGAGGTATGTGTACGTGCCTTTGGCGATGAGCACAGCGCCAACGTAGAAAAGAAGCGCCTCGGCCAAGTAGATAAGAGCGCTGGCGACACCATAAGAGCACCCCTCGACGAAAGCGCCGCGGATACCAGTGGAAAGGCACTGCGAAGCGGCCTTGTCGAATTGAGCCTGAAGAACAGGCTCAAGAGACATAGCACGAATGCCACGGACGTTGAGAATAGACTGGAGAATAAATCAGGACGAGAAACGTCAGGCAATGACAAAAACTTACTTCGTAGTACACCCTGGCAACCTCCTCGCGAGCCCGTTTATTGCGTACCTCGCATTTTCCCATAAGGTTGGTCTGAAGACCCATGACACCAACAAACACAGGCCCAATAGCCAATCCAACGAGTGTCAATTGCCACCCCCACGCCATCGCCCAGAGAAGGCCAACCATCATCATCGCACCAACAGCAACAATCTGGCCTACCACGACAGCAATCAACGTACGAGCGTCATCGCCATCCTTCACAATGACTTGGGTGAGTCTAGCTGCGCCATTCTCGGGACGGTCAAACCAGCTCTTGTCCTGACTGAGAACACGGGAGAAAGCGATGTCGCGGAGGTGAGTGACCCAACGCATAGCAGAGGTTTCCATAAAGAAGAATTTGGAACCAAGAAGAAGCCCATCCAGGGCTGCAATTCCGAGGACGAGACCACCGTAGGAGTTGATCCTGCTGGCATCTGAGCCACCAGCTGAAACTAGGACGATGAGTCTGGAAAGGAGGAATGAAAATATGGGTGTCATCGCCCCGCTTAGCAGGCAGATGATGAGCCCGACGAAAACGATTGGCTTGGTGGGGATGGTGGGGTACACAGCACGGAGGAGGGCGAAGAGGCCGGGGGCTGGAGAGTTGGATTGGTCTCGAGTGTCTTCATTTCCAGATGGAGGCACAACAACACTTTGTAGGGCGCCATGGTACTTGCGCTCTCTGCGCTCTCTCCTGTTCGCGGCTTCCTCAGCGCTGCGCTTCAATGTTTCCTTCTCGGTCTCGAATTCCTCATCAATTTCGACCATGCATACCGGCTCCGGCACAGAGAAGTTCGGGCGTGAAAATGTCGGGGAGGTAGGGGTGAACTGCAAGCTGAAACGATGGCCGCCGTATGTGCGAGGGGGAACCGTGATCTCGGGGACGAATAGGGACATGCTGCTCGGTCTCCGTTGTCTCCCTGCTGCACCACCCTTGAACTCCGGCATTTCTTCTATGGGTAACGCACTAGGGGGGATAAATCGACTCATTCGCCAGTCCTTGTCTTTCTCTGCTGCGGTAGGAAGAGGTGGTGGTGATGGTGCACCCGATTTCGTAAGCTCCGCAACAACATCAAACATCCAGTTGCCAAGTGTTGCTGTGACGGGGCGCATGCCTCCCAATGTGGGGGCTACACTCATGTGTCGTTCGTGAACTGGGGGCTCTTCCTCCTCTTCTTCCTCCCCTGCGAGGATCGCTGCGACGGCATCATACTCAGGGAGGTCGTCTTCAACTGCAAGCCCGCCTGTACGAAGCATGCGGGCGAATTCGTCATCTACGTGCTCAAGGTCTGATCGGAAGCCTTGTTCGACTACAGAACCCTCCCGCATGACGTAGACAAAGTCATTCTCTTCGATTGCAGCAACGTCGTGCGTGATTATGATTGTCGTGCGGTCCTGTCGCCACCTTCGAATAGCAGCCAAAATGAGTGCGCGAGTCGGGGGATCTAATGCCGATGTTGCTTCGTCTGAAATGAAAGATCATAACTAAGAAATCAGATATACGAAAGATAAATGCGAAACTTACCAAGAATCAATATCTCAGGGTCACGTATCCGCGCCCGTGCGATCGCGAGCCTCTGGCGCTGTCCACCGCTCAACTGAATGCCTTCCGCACCAGTACCGCTCAATAACGTCTCGTAGCCTTGGTCTAAACCAACCACCCAAGACTCGAGCATCGCAACTCTACACGCCTCTTCTACTTCTGCTCTGGTAACGTCCTCCGGTCGCTTGCCTTTCCCTACTGCGCCAAGAGCCACGTTCTCGTGGAGGCTTCCTGGGAAGACAGGTGCAGACGATGCGCCCTGCGCCACGCCGGCTATATGGCCCGACACGTACGCGGCGTCAATGTATCGCACATCCTGCTCATCCAGACAAACATAGCCAGAGTTCGGATTGTAAATGCCCATCAAGATTGCACCAAGCGTGGACTTGCCGGAACCGCTTGATCCAACGATGAATGTTGTCTCACGTGCGGGGAGGTACATGGTTACGTTGTGGAGTACTTGGACGTCCGGTCGTGCGGGATATGCGAAGCACACATCAGTCATGCTCAGTTCACCATAAAACGACTTCGGTTGGATTTTCTGGAGTTCTTGTAGACGATGCTTTGAGGATGGTTGACGTGCTTCGGAGATCATGCCTGCGAGTTCTGCAGCAGCGACTTTGCCCTTCATGAAGGTGATGAGAAGAGGTACGGCCATTTGGAGGTTGCTCGTTGCGATAAGGCATGCCCAGAAAACGCTCATGACTTGACCGGGTGTATTTTTTCCTTCCCGGACAAGGTGAGCCCCGAACCAGAACCCTTGTACGAACATGCCATTGTGACGAACTGGCTCAAGCCGCATGTAAGGACCCCAGATACTCGCAAGTCCATTCGCAGCCGCCCTTACGCGTCCAAGCACACGGGAAAGTACCCGAGTCTCGTGTGTAGCTGCGTTGAATGCTTTGACGGTAGCAATTGCAGAAACTGCGCGTTCTACAACGGTAGCGGCGCTTGCGGTAAAGGTGCGCTCACGAGCAAGGAGAGGGCCCGCTAGAACTTGGGAGAATGCTTGAATGATAATTAATGCCGGAGCGGCTGAAAGAATGACAAGGGTGAGAAGCGGTGACCAAACGAATGCGAGCACAAGGCTCGTGATGATGGTGGTTAAATATTGAAGCAGCTGGCCTGCTGCAAGCGACGAAGCTGCGCGTACTTCATCGGTCTCTCTGTTGGGTTTATGAAAAGACGATCAGAATTAAGCGCTCAGGCGGATAAGAGGATTTGCTAACCTGGCAAACCTGGCCATGAGACCCCCAGCGCCTACGGGGGAATCTTCGGACGTGTCTTGCACATGGCCCGCAGGTGCAGATCCGTCGACCCCCATGCGAAGATCGAACCATGACATCTCCTTGTTCACAACAGACTGGTACACGAGCCGTCTAAGTTCCACGACATTGTGCTCCCCAGTCGAAATCCACAAGCTGCTCGTGATGCTACTCATGACTAACGCACTGATACCGAGTGCTACGAGCTCAATTGCTGCGATGCCCACACCATGAAGCAGCGCATCCTTGGCGGATTGCGGCGGGCTGCTTGTCAATGGGAAAGCAGCGAAGGCGTTGAATGACTGCCCGACGGCATAAGTCATAAGGGGAGCAATGGCACCGGTCGCGACAGAAGACAGAATGGCCGGTGTTAGCAGGACCAACTTCCTTCGCGGAGTGAGGAATGAGAACAGTAGTTTCATTGAGGGTACGGGTGCTGCATAAGTGTTGGAAATGTCATGGATGGACGATGTCTCAGAGACAGTGGTGTCATTTTTGATATCAAGTGTCGACGATGAAGCCGAATGAATTGTTGACCGAATTGAAGGATCCGATGTTGGGTCATGGTTCTTCATCGTTGTTCTGCGCGATGAGCTCGCCTCTGCGATCGTTTGAATGGTATAAGGGAGAGAAACGTCGAAAGCCAGTCTGCCTTTTCCGCATTTTTGTTGTTTCAATTGTGGCTTTAGTTTCGCTTCACTATTGTCCTCCCACGTGGGAACACAATCAGACAATGGACGTTGAAACAATAAACAGTGTTATGTAATCAGGTACAAAGCCTTTGCATAACAATAGACAACAATGGTCTGTGCTTTCTACCATGCTGCGCTCTCGTCCCCAGACTCCCACTCATTGTGTTGCAAGTATGCGGATACATTGCAGGTGAGGACTTTGCTCCGGTATAATCTATTATTGCGAGTGGCTGATCCCCTCAGACAGGAGGCCTTTCTATTCTGCGCCATGACAGCAGTGAAACGTGGTGGTACGAACCGACGGTCTATATGAAGAAGTCACTGTCACTGAGTGGATACTCCTGGCTAGAATGAAACATACAACTTGATGAGTCATGAGCCAGGCGGTTGGTTCAAGGTGACTACTCCATACTCGCGACCCACCGCGAAGCTTCGTGCTACACATATTGTTACATCGCGGCTCCGAATCTCTGTAGGTTATCTTCGTGACTATCGAAAATCCTTTCAATAGCGAAGCACCGTGCGGATGTCTCTGAAGATCCTCTACTTCCCTCCTCGTGTATGTGCCAGCACCCCGGAACAGATCCTCCGTGTCTTTCGAGGCTCCCTATTGCCGAAGAACGTGGCGAAGGTGCTCATTTAAAGTTCTGGGTAACTTACAAGAAACTGTCGAATGAGTATGAAGATGACTTCATTGACCAAGCGTATGGTGATTTAGCTGTTCTACGTCAGGTCGCTTATCCGTTGTATGGGCCCTACCAGATCTCCCAAGTCCGGCATGCTGTGCTGGGAGCTGTCTTTGAAGCTCAAGAACTAGTGTCTATGACAAGTGATTCGATGCTACAGAGTGTCAACGTACAACTCCTGGATGAGCTTTCTCGCTATCTTTTAACTGCTATATATGTCCGAATTGCGACCGGAATCCCCGAAACTGGACCCGACGCTTCTTTCCGCCATGACCGAGACCTCAGCGCTCAGCTACGCCCGCCTCATCTTTAACCTGGCAATGAACAATGAATAACGTGATAGTCTAACCCGCGATGGCCATCTCGAGCGGTGCACTTCTCTAATCGAGCAAGCTTTTGAATACAGGTCCCGGACTCTCACACACTACCTTACTGGGGTCTTCACGTATACCGATCCCTCAGACAAGGTTCTTCCTCTCAGCCCCGCCCAGGAGAGGTGGTGGACACTCGCCAGGACAACACGGAGGCATGAATTGATGTCTCTCTTACCTGACGCAATACTAGACATTGTGACAGTGACTAGACGGTGTCTATATGGATAACAGTGTTGCAGACGATCAGCTAATAGAGCTCGCCAAAGAGGTGCATAGGATTCTGGTCGATTTGCTGGAGAGACAAGCAACCTATGTGAACGATGATGTGGCTCATGTCTCCTGGCCATGGTTCGTGGGGTAGATGTCTTTAAAATTTTACCCGCAGAATGGCTACAGTATTTTCACCTTGTGTAATCGTACCTGTTGTTTGTCGGCGACTGGCGCACTTTCATGCCGCTCTCATGTTAGATACTGATGATAAACGGATGGTAGAGCTTCTCCAGGGCCAATCAATTTCAAGTACACGTCGAGCAGAAGGCAGATTCCTATCTCATGTATTATGTAAAAATACAGGGTGACTGCGACAATGTCAAAAAGATATACTTAATCTATCGCGTTCATGCGATGGAGGGAGACATCGCAATACTCTGTCTTTGCGATGTAAGTCCGTAATGTGAAGGGATAATATGGGCGAGGATATTGGGCTCGATCGTCTCTTGGTAAGTGTACTTTCCTCCATGCGAAAGACGATAATTGGCACAAGGGAATTAGAGAGATGATACCTTGAAACGCTGCCCACACTGAGAGCGTTGAAAACCATACCTCTTGCACCGTTCCATGATGGCTTCTGGAGCCCACGACGACCGAGTCTGGTGATACACAGCAATGCAGCGTTTGAGATTTATGGTAGCCTTGGCAGTAATGGACTCGACAATGATGGACAGCTACAATACACACGTACCTTTCGTTTCGATAGATCGTGCTCAATACTTGTCCTGAATTTGGTACATAAGCCCACGGAGTCCTGTTGATATTCAAAATTTCGAAGATAACGCGTGATATAAAATCGAATTACATCTCGACTTTCAACGCAAAGCAAGCGATAACTTGAAATGCCAAAAGTGAAAAGTCCAGGTGATACAGGGCACGGCCTAATCATGGACAGGGGGTGACAACAGTGCAATAGGTGGGTATGTTGGCTAGAACATTTGCTTGATGTCTTGCTTGGAGGATGCAGGGATGAACGTGCTGTGAATAAGGACCGGCCGGCTGTAGTGAACGCATGCATGGGAGTTACTGGATGTGAAGACGAAGCGTATGAAGAGTCCACGCCGCAGATATTGATATTTTGACAAATTAATTAATTAATTAATTTTAATATTGGTGTCCACGCATGATCGTCATGGTCGTTTCCCACTCATCGTCACTGCAGTGTATTATAGCGGTCCTGGTCTGCTTGAGATGGACACGCTAGTAGTCGATACCAGCACTGAGCATGATCAACAACTGATGCGGAAATGAGCCTGCTTTCCATTCCACGGAATCACCTTCACTTATAGTAAAAATGTCGGCAGCTACTAACCTATTTACTCCCCCGTTCAAATCCCTTCCTTCCTTCACCCATGCCCACTGAGTACGAAGCATGCACAACACATCCCCACGATTCAGTCCTGCACTTGCTGATACCGAGCTCTCGACTAACAAGTAAGTGGAAAGTTAGATTGAGCTGTCCAAAATACTCATGTACATAGGAATGCAATCAATGCGAATGCAGTGACCGAGGAACCTGCCATGTCGACCAAGGTCGACCTTCATAAGAACATGTAAATGTCGAACGACAAACATGGTGTACTTGACTGACTCCATTGTCTCAAAGGTCAAGCACGTTGGGACAGACCCTGGACAATGGGATCGAGCCGAATAACGCGAACGAGATTCCTTCGGTGTCCATTGAAGGACGCCTTATTGAAATGTAAATATCAAATCATCAGTACGGTGCACTTCACATCTAACCATATTTTCTCAAAGGTCAGACACGCTGGGGCAGATTCTCGAAGTCCTTAAAGGATCAACAATCGCAGAAGAACGCGGAAAAGATGACAGTTCAAAGTTTTGGGCGACGTACAAGAAAGTTTCGACTGAGTACGACGATGATTTCCTTGGGCGGGCCAATGACGATATGGGAATCATTCTGACATTTGTACGTTTGTTTCTACGTCTCTCAATGCAAGTCTTACAGGCGTATTAGGCTGGTCTATTCTCAGCCGTCAACTCCACCTTCATCGTCGGGATGCAGCCTAATCCAGGAGATACTACCAATGCTCTCCTCCTGTATCTAATCCAGACAACTGTTAATGGCCCGAATTCCGTACCTGATATCAACACTCTTTCTTCATCCACAGGATATTCGTCTTCGACTGTCTGGGTGCAAACACTTGCCTATGCTAGCCTCGCATTCAGTGTCTTGGCCGCGTTCGGGGCAGTCTTGGGCAAACAGTGGCTGAACTCTTACAAGTCAGTTCGAGGACGAGGGACGCTCGAAGAGCGTGGAATAAAGAGGCAGATGAAGCTAGACGGAGTAGAATATTTCCGCTTGCAGACCGTCTTGCAGGCATTTCTTGTGCTGCTCCAGATTTCGCTCCTGCTCTTCGGCCTCTCGCTAAGCGCCAACATGTGGGCCCAGCAGACCACAATATCCAGCGTCATCATCTGTACTACAGCTTTCGGTATTCTGTTTTACGTGGTTACTACTCTCGTGTCGGTGTTGCGTCCAGACAGTCCTTTCCAGACACCAGCCTCGGAGCTATTCGCAGCTATCTGCCAAAGATTTCTTCCAAACAAATCCACATCGACTCGCCACATATTTGGCAAGTCATCCGCCATTCGCTGGATACTGGAGACGTCGACGAACCCTGAAATTGTCGAGGCTGCGGCTGCGATTGTACCTTGCGTGCAGTGGCCCCCGAACCTTGATGCTTCGGCAGCCTTTTCACGTTTACGGGATAATTTTAAGGCATGTCAGGACAGGGATGAGCTATATGTGAAGTATGGCAAAGCCATGGCCCATCTTTGCAGTCAAACAGTGAAAATCGATTTGGGTCTTCATTTTTTTGGGAATGATAAATTTCGGTCAACCCGAAGTCGTTTCATTCGTGATGCGTTCATGGCTGGACGTGCCGCCTATGATCAGCTCAAGAATACACAGAAACAAGACGCTCAACGGAAGCATCGGGCCAGTGCACGCACTGCTCTGAGAACAATCGTTGCCCATGGACGGTACGATCGACTTTCACATCCGGACGATGAATGTTTGATCTGGGAAGCTAATCTGCGCTGGTATCATGGCGACGAGCGTGAGCCCAGCTGTGAAGAATTTGATTGGCTCGTTGATTACGCGAAGGATGCAGCAGAGGACGACAAAGATGATGAAACAAAAGGTGACGCTTTGCTTGTACTGAGCGCTATGCGTGGACTAGGGAGCTCTATCAAACGATGGTCCTACGTTCGCTCGCTTATCCGCTGTATGTGCTCCACCAGACCTCCCCGAGTCCGGCATGCCGCGCTTAGAGCTGCATTTGAAGCTCGAGAAGAACTAGCTTCCATAACTGGTGCTTCGATGCCACAGGGTGTCGACGCACAAGTCCTGAATGAACTTTCCGGCGCTCTTTTAACTGCTGTATGTCCAAATGGCGACCAGATAATCCGTGACACCGGGCCCGACGCTACCTTCTGCCAAAAGCGAGATTACCACTACCTCCGCCTCATCTATGCCCTGACGAAGAACGATGAGTGGTGTCAGCGTCTGACCCGTGATGGTCATCGCAAGCGGTGCATTTCTCTGGTTGAGGGACCCCGTTATCATGTGGAAGATGGATTCTATCTTCTTGTGATCTTTGGACGCATCAAGTTCTCGGGCAAGGATTTTCCTTGCAGTCCTGCCAATGAGAGGTGGCGAAAACTCGTTACAGAAGCATGGGAGTTCGTGCAATATAACACAATAGGTGACGACGATGTCGATAGAATACCAGTCATCGTGACAGCGACAGGGCTGAATTTTTCAGCCTCGGATGATAGTATTCCGAGGGAGTGGTTCGTAGATCTCGCTGCAAAAGTGCATAAAGCTTCGGTCAGATTGCAGCAGGACCAAGCGGACTATGTGGATCGTGATATAGCTCAGGCTGCAATTAACGTTGCACTATCCTCTACGCAGGGCTTGGACTACGAGCTGAGTCGTATGGTCGAGCAGTGGAACACATCGCAAAGGGATGATAGAGCTTCGGGATCATGAGGACATACCAGCGTTAGTAGCGAAGTACTTTTACACATTTGTTACACACCTCACGGTTCATTCCTATGCATGGGTCGGCGCCTGGTCTATGAGATGGATGGCATCAGAATGGCTATAGTAATTTGTTCCTTACCTTGTATGCTCTACGATTGTAGTCCTGCTTTGTCTGTCGAGAAGTCAGCGACTTGCGTTTTGGTGCTGCTGTCACATTATGTACTGAGGATCACTTAGATATCTTCTCCAGCGGCAAATCGAGTTGAACAACACGTTGAGCAGAAGGCAGACTTCCATTCAGGTCTTAATAATGTAGGGTGACTATGGGTATAGAGTCAATGTGTACAGCTGTCACATAAAAACAGACATGAAATCTATCACGCTCGTGTGACAGAGGGAGACATCGAAATACTTTGTATGTTCTGCGTCTTCACCCTCGTAAACCTGCAATTCGAGGGATCACATGAACGGGCGCATGACAGCATATCAAGGTATGCTTACCCGTCAAAATGGGTGCCTCTCTTTGGATCGGCCCATCTCTTGACCAGTACTTTCATGACCTTTCTCTCTCTGGGTGAACAACGATCATAAGCACAGTGGATTTCGAGAGACAATACATTGACACGCTGCCACTGCACCTGGTGCGCCGAATGCCACACCACAGGCTTGCATCATGCCACACCACAGGCTTGCATCATGCCACACCACAGGCTTGCATCATGCCACACCACAGGCTTGCATCATGCCACGCTGGCCTCCGGCACCCACTACAACTCTACGACTGAGTCTGTGCGGCACAGAGCAATTAAATGCTCAAGCATTGTAGTGACTCTGCCCAAGATAAGCTCGACAATGATGTATGGCTAGATACACACAATGGGAACATGTCGATTTGACGGCTACGTACCTTGTGCTCTAGATCGCTGTCGATACACTTGGCTTGCAAGAATCTGGTGCATGAGGTCACGAGTGTTTTCTTGGACGAGTCCATGATCATTTTGCTAGGTTAACATTCGCAGAGATCTAGATATTACGAGCCACCTACCTAAATCCTCTGGATCGACGCCTCTGAAGACGGTCAGCTCACACCATCCATATTGCCTTGACTCGACACAAAACAATAACCTCGTTGCTCTGTTTCTAGCGGATCCATATGATTTCACGTGCAGAATGAATGAGAACATGGAAGCAGCGAGGTTCTTAACAGTGTCGAACAACACCTTTAGCGTGAAAATTTGTCCGATGACTAATTGAGCCATGTTCTGCTGCATGTTCACCGACGGAGAATGCGAGGGTAGTGTTGAAGAGAACATAACGATGTCGAGGTAGGAGGGATGAGCGCCGAAAGAGGAAGAGACGATGGTGACGACGAAGGCGTAGATGATACCAGAAGTTTGCTTCTGGGACCACCGCAAGGTTCTGTAGATTCCATGAGTAAAATGGACACACCGGAGTCCTCCAACGTGCCAAAGGATAATTTGGGCGGGTAATCTTGCCTATAGTGCTCTGCTGCACTTCCACTTGCTGGGAACGCGAGAGCAATGTCGGAGGTAGGAGGGTAAGTGACGCAGGAGGAAGATCAATATTGCTGAAGATGAGGGCATGATGGACAACAGGAGTGGAGAGGAGCCTGGCTGCAATGAATGCCAATCGTAATATGATTATGGGAGTCCTGTTGATATTGAAGATTTCGAAGATGGCATGTGATAAAGAAAGAACGATCAAATTACATCTCGACTTTCATCTCAAAGCAGGCGAATAGAGAGATAACTTGAAACATCAAGGGTAAAAGGTGCAGGTAGATGGCAAAAATTATGGACGGGGATGAATGTGCAGGGAGTACTAAGCACTAGTACTCGGTGACTGCATAGAAGTGGTGACGCGTGCACCACTGTATAGTGATGAGGACCACGTTACTGCACTAGGACAGAGGCCAGTGGTCGTGCAGTGCAGTACTGATGACTCTGATGGACCCCGAAGAGGAAGCCTAGCTATGCACAACAATAGACAACAAATTGATTGATACCGCGTGCGCACAAGTTTTAAACGTCCATCGTCCATGTGATCCACGCTGCATATGCTGATGCTTATAATCATGGATATTTCTCACTCATCGTCACAATATACTATAGCTGTCTCGGTCTGCTCGAGGATGTACTCAGTAGTCAATACCAGCACTGAGCAGGATCATCAACAAGCGATGCGGAAATGAACACCTGGCTCACTTTCTGTCTGATAGGGCCTGATCGTACTGAAGGTCACGGAGCTCCAGGCTCCTATTCCCAAAGCTGATGGCCACAACTTATTGCGACTGTCACACCATGTAAGAACATACTTCTTTCATGTGTGTGTAGAAGGTTTACTCGCAGTAAAAGTGTTGGCATAGTGCCCAAGCTGTTTACTTCCCCCATTCGTCCTTTCTTTCTTCCACCTAGGCATCAGTGGACTGCCGCCGATGTGAAAGTAGAAAATTGAGAAACAAACCTTTGAGGCGCATAACTCGCCGAGCCTGATTTAGCTGCTCGGGAATGTACACTTTTAGTTCTTACTATGCTTCTTTGAACTGTAAGCTCCTAGGTGTGAGCATCCCTAATTATATCCTTCTATAGTTCCCATTACGATCTGAAGGACTTATGAGCTCACTGATGTATGTCCACCGCAGCACGAAGCATGCATAACATGTCCCCACGATCCAGTCCTGCATCTGCCGATACTGACTTCCCGACCAATGAGTAAGTGAAAAGTTAGACTGGGCTATCCATAATACTTATGTACATAGGAATGTGATCGATGCGAATGTAGTGACCGAGGAACCTGCTGCGTCCATCAAGGTCGACCTTCATGAGAATATGTGAATGTCGAACGATCAGCATGGTATACTCGTCTGATTCTATTGTCTCAAAGGTCAAACACCCTGAAGCAGGCCCTGAACAATGGGATCGAGCCGAATAACATGACCGAGAATCCTGTGGTGTACATCGAAGGAAACCTTGCTAAGAACATGTGAGCGCCACAATCAGCACAGACACATTCAAGGTCTAACTGTGTGGTATCGAAGGGCAAACAGCCTTGAACAGATTCTGGATGTCCTCAAAGGATCAACTATTGCAGAAGAACGTGGAAAAGACGACAACTCAAAGTTCTGGGCGACATACAAGAAAGTTTCAACTGAGTATGACGACGATTTCCTCGGGCGTGCGAATGACGATATGGGCATTATTCTCACTTTTGTATGTTTGTTTCTATGTCTCTTAATGCAAATATAATGATCAGACTAGGCTGGTCTATTCTCAGCCGTCAACTCCACCTTCATCGTCGGGATGCAGCCTGATTCAGGAGATACTACCAATGTCCTGCTCCTCTATCTAATTCAGATCACTGTTAACGGCCCAAATTCTGTACCTGATATCAACACTCTTTCTTCATCCACAGGATATTCGTCTTCGACTGTCTGGGTGCAAACACTTGCCTATGCTAGCCTCGCATTCAGTGTCTTGGCCGCGTTCGGGGCAGTCTTGGGCAAACAGTGGCTGAACTCTTACAAGTCAGTTCGAGGACGAGGGACGCTCGAAGAGCGCGGAATAAAGAGGCAGATGAAGCTAGATGGAGTAGAATATTTCCGCTTGCAGACCGTCTTGCAGGTATTCCTGGTGCTGCTCCAGATTTCGCTCCTGCTCTTCGGCCTCTCGCTAAGCGCCAACATGTGGACTCAGCAGACCACGATATCCAGCGTCATCATCTGCACCACAGCTTTCGGCCTGCTCTTCTATGCGGGCACTGTTCTCGTGTCGGCGTTGCATCCAGACAGTCCCTTCCAGACACCAGGGTCAGAGTTATTTGTAACCATCTGCCAAAAAATTCTTCCAGACAAATCGACGTTGACTCGTAACATATTTGCTAAATCATCCGCTATTCGCTGGGTGCTGGAGACATCAACGAACCCTGAAATTGTCGAGGCTGCGGCTGCGATGATACCTTTCGTGCAGTGGTCGCCGAACCGTGATGCTTCAGCAGCCTTCGCACGTTTACGTGATATTTTCATGGGGTGTTGTGACAGGGAAGGGCTATATGTAAAGTATGGCAAAGCTCTGGCCCATCTTTGCATCCAGTCAGGTGAAAATCAACGAGGAGCTTCTGGTGTTTCTTTGGGATGATAAATTTCAGCCAACCCAAGGACAAAGTCGTTTCATTCGTGATGCGTTTATCGCCGGACAGGGCCGCCTATTATCAGCTCAAGAATCCACAGGAAGAGGACGTTCGACCGAAGCATCGAGCCGGTGTACGCACTGCTCTGAGAACAATGCTTGTTCACGGACGGTCCTATCAACTTTCACGTCCGGACGATGAACAATTGATTTGGCATGGTGATCTATGCTGGCATCACAGCGACGAGCGTGAGCCAAGGTGTGAAGAATTTGATTGGCTCATCGACTACCTGGCGGGTGATGCAGAGCATTGTACAGACAATGACACAGAAGGTGATGCTTTGCTTGTACTGAGCGCCATGCATGGACTAGGGAGCTCTGTCAAGCGACGGTCCTACATCAGCTCGCTTATTCGCTGTATGCACTCCACCAGACCTCCACGAGTCCGACATACCGCGCTCAGAGCTGTTTTTGAAGCTCGAGAAGAACTGGCTTCTATGACAAGTGCCTCGATGCCACCGGGTGTCGATGCACGACTTCTGAATGAGCTTTCCCGCTCTCTTTTAACTGCTGTACGTCCTAAGAACAGCCAGATAACCCACGACACTGGACCCGACGCCTCTTTCCACATCGATCGAGATTCTTGCTACATCCGCATCATCTGTGCCCTGATGAAGAACAACGAGTGGTATCAACGTCTGACCCGTGATGGCCATCTTGACCGGTGCATTTCTCTACTTGACGGATTGTATCAATATTGTCATTTGAATGCCGGATTCTACCTTCTTGTGATTTTCGGGCGCATCAAGTCCTCGGGCAAGGATCTTCCTTTCGGTCCTGCCCAGGAGAGGTGGCGGCGATTCATCACACACATATGGAACTTCGTGCAACGTTCCGTAAGTTTCAACGGCGATGTCGATGGAATACCAGCCTTCGTGGCAGCGACGAGGCTGAATTTGACAGCCGCGGATGATGGTGTTCCGTGGGAATGGTTGGCAGATCTCTCTACAAAGGTGCATGGAGCTTTGGTTAATTTGCGGCAGAGCCAAGCATACTATGTGGATCGTGGTATAGCCCAGGCTGCAATTAACGGTGCACTATCCTCTATTCAGGGCTTGGATGACGAGCTGAGTCGTATGGTGGAATAACAGAATACATTGCAAAAGGATAATCGAACTTCAGGATTGTGAAAGACATTTGTCCGTGGTGAAATACTTTTACGCATTTCTTACACATGTCGCAGTTCATTCCTATGTGTAGATTGATGCCTGGTCCATGAGATGGATGTCGTTTGATCACAAAATGGCTCCGGTATTTTTTTACTTGCCTTGTGTTCATTACAAGGGTGGATCAAACCCTCAAATCTGGTTGCAGCTCTGAATTTTTATCATATTCATGACTATTGAAAATCATTTCGACAGTACTTGAAACATCGTGCGTACGTTTCCGAAGATCCCTCTACTTCCTTTCTTGCTATGTGCTTGACTGTCATTGCTTGTACTGGCACTAGTGTGTAAACTTCTCACAAGAAACATTGACAGAGAACCATGCGCTCATCCTCATACTTCGGAAGACAGCGCAGATAGTTCTGCCTCAAAGATACCACCGCCCTGGGACCATCAGTCATATATACAGCATGCTTTGGCACCATATATGAACATGCTTCTGTGTCAAAATTGACGCCAGCACAGTGACTAAACAAGTTATATACTTCCGGTCACTGTTTCTCCATCGCTTCAGGCTGTAATTGTTGATCTAGTACTTCTGTGTGCCATTGAGAATCAAGAATGGTGTGGCAAGCTCATCCCTGGAGATGAGCGTCTCAGCAGATCTCGAACGCCGCCTCGAGGACTTGACTTTGCGGCGCCTCGTGTACTGTCACAACTGGATACAGAGCTTTGGTATCCGATAAGAACGTGCTTCTTTGATGCAATGCAAAGCGCCAACTATATATTTCCACCATTTCTCTCTCCCTACTTTCCTATCTCCCCCCAACCAAAAACATGGCAAGCGCATCATCACGACCCAGTTCACCACTTGTCGGCATCGACATTGTCCACAACACCTATGAACACAGGAATGCGATCGAGGTCGACCTTGTTAAGAATGGGTGAATGTCAATCAATTGGTGTGGTATGCTTGACATCTGACTCTATTGTCTCAAAGGTCAAGCACTCTGGGCCAGATCCGGAATGAACTCAAGCTGAATAGTGCAAACGAGGAGTGCGGAGGCCTGGCTAAGAATATGTAATCATCAATCAATCAGCACGATATACTTGGCGTCTAACCATATTGTCTCAAAGGTCAAACACCCTGGAGCAGACCTCGGACAATGGGACCAAGCCGAATAACGCGAACGAGAATCCTGCGGTGTCCATTGAAGGAAGCCTGACTAACATGTGAATGTCAACTTATCAACACGGTTCACTTGATGTCTAACCATATTTTCTCAAAGGTCAGACATGCTGGGGCAGATTCTCGAAGTCCTTAAAGGATCAACGATCGCAGAAGAACGCGGAAAAGATGACAGTTCAAAGTTTTGGGCGACGTACAAGAAAGTTTCGACTGAGTACGACGACGATTTCCTTGGGCGGGCCAATGACGACATGGGAATTATTCTGACTTTTGTACGTTTGTTTCTACGTCTCTCAATGCAAGTCTTACAGGCGTATTAGGCTGGTCTATTCTCAGCCGTCAACTCCACCTTCATCGTCGGAATGCAGCCTAATCCGGGAGATACTACCAATGTTCTCCTCCTGTATCTAATCCAGACAACTGTTAATGGCCCGAATTCCGTACCTGATATCAACACTCTTTCTTCATCCACGGGATATTCGTCTTCGACTGTCTGGGTGCAAACACTTGCCTATGCTAGCCTCGCATTCAGTGTCTTGGCCGCGTTCGGGGCAGTCTTGGGCAAACAGTGGCTGAACTCTTACAAGTCAGTTCGAGGACGAGGATCTCTCGAAGAGCGCGGCATAGAGAGGCAGATGAAGTTAGATGGAGTAGAATATTTCCGCTTGCAGACCGTCTTGCGGGCATTCCTGGTGCTGCTCCAGATTTCGCTCCTGCTCTTTGGCCTCTCGCTAAGCGCTCGCATGTGGACCCAGGAGACCACAATATCCAGTGTCATCATCTGCACTACAGCTTTCGGCATTCTGTTCTACGCGGGTACTATCCTTGTGTCGGTGTTGCGTCCGGACAGTCCTTTCCAGACACCAGCCTCAGAGCTATTTGTAGCTATCCGCCAAAAATTTCTTTCAGATAAATTCACATTCACTCCTAGCATATTTGCCAAATCATCCGCCATTCGCTGGATACTAGAGACATCGACGAACCCTGAAATTGTCAAAGCTGCAGCTGCGATTGTACCTTGCGTGCAATGGCCCCCGAACCTTGATGCTTCGGCAGCCTTTTCACGTTTACAGGATAATTTTAAGGCATGTCAGGACAGGGAAGAGCTATACGTAAAGTATGGCCAAGCCATAGCCTATCTTTGCATCCAGTCGGTGAAAATAAATCTGGAACCTCTGGAGTCGTGTTGGATTGCCTCAATTCCGAAAATCCAAAGTCGTTTCATTCGCGATGCATTCATGGCCGGACGTGCTGCCTACGATCAGCTCAAGAATACACAGGAAACGGACACTCAACTGAAGCACCGAGCCAGTGTACGTACCGCCCTAAGAACAATGCTTGTACACGGATGTACTCGCCGCCGATTTTCACGTCCAGACGATGAATGCTTGATTTGGGATAGTGAACTGTGCTGGTGTCACAGTGACGAGCGTGAGCCCAGCTGTGAAGAATTTGATTGGCTCGTCGATTACCTGGCGTATAATGCAGAGCATAGCACAGACGATGAAACACAAGGTGATGCTTTGCTAGCACTGAGCGCCATGCATGGATTAGGGAGCTCTTCCAAGCAACAGTCCTACATCAACTCGCTTATTCACTGTATGCAGTCCACCAGACCTCCACGAGTCCGGCATGCTGCGCTTAGAGCTACTTGTGAAGCTCGAGAAGAATTAGCTTCTATATCCAGTGCCTTGATGCCACAGGGTGTCGATGCACAACTCCTGGATGAGCTTTCCCGCGCTCTTTTAACTGCCGTACGTCCATATAATGACCGGACAATCCGCACTGGACCCGACGCCTCTTTACACCTTGATCGAGACTCTTGCTACCTCCGCCTCATCTATACCCTGACGAAGAACGATGAGTGGTGTCAACGTCTGACCCGTGATGGCCATCCCGACCGGTGCATTTTTATAGCTGACGTAGTCAATTGTTCTTCGGAATTCAATCTCCACCTTTCTGTGATCTTCGGGCGCATCAAGTCCTCAGGCGTGGATCTTCGTCTCAGTGTCGCTGAGTGGAGATGGCGGCTGCTCATCGCATTCACATGGAGCACATGGCGCATATCGGATGCTGTTGATGAAATACCAGCCATTGTGACAGCGACGAGGCTGAATTTGACAGCCTTGGATGATGGTCCCGAGGGGGAGTGGTTCGTAAATATCGTTACAGATGTGCATAAAACTTTGGTCGAATTGCAGCAGAAGCAAGCGCACCATGTGGACCGTGGTATAGCTCAGGCTACAATTGATGCTGCACTATCCTCTTTGCAGGGCTTGCACGCCGAGTTGAGTCTTATGGTTGAGCAATGGAATTCATCGCAAAGGAATGATGGAGCTTCACGATCATGAAGAACATGGGTCTGCAGCCAAGCACTTTTATTCCTATTCCTAGTTCTTTACTTCATGAGGCAGATGTCTCTAAAGTATTTCTTTTAGCTACCTTGTGATCATTGCAAATATATTTCTGCCTTGCCTGTCAATGAACAAGAAGTTTGTTCATTGAAGTCACTGGTGTGTTTCATGCTGCTATCATGTCAGATATCCTGAAAGAATGTGTGAGGTGTCAATGAAACTAATTTATTTGAATTACATGTTGAGCCAAATGTATATAGACTGCCATCTCAGGTATTAGAAATATTGGAAAGCGGCAAGCGCACTCGCAGCCAAGGCGCGTTAACGTCCTCGCATTGTCCTTTTGTTCGAACGTCCAGTGACATGTATGTTTTACTTATTTTCAACCTTGTTAACGTCTTTCTCATTGTACTTATGAAACACTATCGAGTTCTTGGGCCAGCGCCCCATTTTTTCCTTTTGTTGTGGTCTCAGATATGTATATGCTTGCACAAGAGCTCGTGCAGTATTTAGTTAGCTATGGATTCAGCCTTGCACCTCAGATGTTTGCCTTCGCACACAATGACTGAGGTGAGATACTTACATTTTCATATATTCACCTTTACTTACTTCCAGTAGAGAGTCTGTTTGTTACAGGTGAATATCACTAGATGTTTGCCTTCGCGCGCAACGACTGAGAGAGTCCATTTGTTACAGACCTGCACGATTGTATTAATCCTTTTAGGTTATGAGCCCTGAGCTCTGAAGGAGCTCAATGTCTCACGTTTTTAACTGCTAAATACACTATGTCTACCATGGTACCCATCACCACGGATACCCTGCCCTCTAACGTACCCAAACTTGACCTCAAAGGCATGAATTGGGCCATTTTTTCGCTTCGTTTTCAAATCGCCGTTGAAGTGAAAGACCTGTGGAAGCAGTTCGATGGGTCAAACCCCAAGCCTGTAGGGTCACCCATGCAAACCGGAGGCACTACTACAGTATCCCCTCCTGACCCTGTCGCACTAGCTCAATGGCAGAAATATGAGAACCTTGCCAAACACCTGCTTACCCAGCGCATTCCAGATTCAACCGTGTTACGTGTATGGAACTTGCCCAACGTTGTCGCAATGTGGAAGGAGATCGTGCATGAATACACCAAGAAGGGTGCTTATGCGCAGACAGACCTTCGCACAAAATTCCTGGAGTCGAAATGCCCCACTGGGGGCGACATACGCCAGTTCTTAGATGAACTCCGTGCTAAGCGTGATGAATTGTCAGCAGTAGGCGTCCAGATTGAAGAAAAAGACTACTGGTCCACAATCATTCAGTCCCTTCCAAATTATCTTGCCAGCTTCGCTTCTGGGCAACTTGCCACTGCACGCCTCTATTCCACTACCCAAACCATCACTCCTGATATCCTGATCTCCCTCATTATTGAGGAATCTGAACTGTTGCAGCAGAAAGGATACTTGAACGATGTGCACTCACATTGGTGCCAGAACCCATGGCGCTGATGAAGCAATGGCAGCCACAGAATCACCATCTCGTGGCCTGTACAGGCAGGGGAGGTAGCAAAGGATCCCATCATGGAGGAAGAGGTGGGGGTACCAGACCACGACCCCCGTGTTGGAACTGCAGCTCAAGGGAGCATTTCAAAGCCCAATGTCCTGAGCCGGACAAAAGTCAGTCCACAGGAACCAACCGCACCACACAAGGGTATGCCCATGCAGCTGCCGACTCTGATTCTGAGAGTGATGACGTCTTTGCTATTGATGAACTGTCAGATTTTGAGACTGAGAGTTCAGTACCAGACTTGCTCACCCTATCCTGAAACCTCCTACAACGACGATTCCCTCAGTGCTGTATCAGAAGACGATGATCGTTTCTCTGAAGTAGGGGAGGCTGCTGCCTCCTTAGATGATCCTGACTGGACTTCAATTGGAAGTCTCAGCGATAATGAGCAAACTGGGACTGATGGCAAAGTAGCCACCTGAAGCCAGTCCAAAGGCCAAAGGTGATGGACCTGTTGTTGAACTATATGACTCTAGCTCTACATGCCACATCTCCCCGTACAAAGAGCATTTCAACAGCATATCCCTGATCCCCCCAAAATCCTTCACAGCAGCGAATAAACAATCCTTTAATGCTGTCAGAACAGGAGAAATGGTCATTGAAGTCCCAAACTGGTGTTGAAGTATCCAAACTACGACTCACCGAAGTTCTCTACTTGCCTGAAGTTGGCTATACCCTCGTCTCCATTAGGGCGACTCGACAAGTTAGGATACTCAGCCACCTTTGAGAACGGACACTGCATCCTCTGTAATTCTGCTGAAGACGTCATTGGGCAAATACCTAAGACAGCGAGAGGGTTATACCATGTCGTCCACGACGAAGGCAGTGGAAGCGTACATGCTGCAGTAGAGACCATGACCATTATGGAATTGCACAGATGCATGGGGCACATTGCCCCCAGCGCCGCCTGTTGCCTTGCTGAGAATGGCCTTGTTTCTGGTATCAAGGTGGATATGTCGTCTGGGGAACCCATGTTCTGTGAGTCGTGTGTCTATGCAAAAGCCACCTGAAAACCCGTTATGAAAGTCCATGAAGGCGAGTGAGCTAGCAAGTTTGCTGGGGAGGTCCATACTGACCTTTGGGGACCCGCACCTGTCGCGACTCTTGGTGGCTGGAGATATTATATCAGCTTCACAGATGACAAAACACGGCTCACATACCTTCACCTTCTCCACCAGAAAAGCAACGCTTTCGATGCCTACAAGGAATTTGAGGCATGGTGCGAGGACTCAGCACAACGCGAAGGTCAAGACACTGCATTCTGACCGTGGAGGCGAGTACCTGGGAAAAGCTTTTAGCATGCATCTCAAAGCTGCCAGAATGAAACAAAAGCTCACTGTTCATGACATGCCACAGCACAATGGTGTTGCTGAACGACTCAACCGCACCCTATTTGAGAAGGTATGAGCAATGTTGCATGAGAGTGGCTTACCACGTACCCTCTGGGGAGAAGCCATGCGGCATGCAGTTTGGCTGAAAAACCGCACACCAACCAAGGCCCTCAATGGTGGCACACCTCTTGAGGCAGCCACCGGAAAGAAGCCCGATCTGAGCCATATTTGACCATGGGGTTCAAAGATTTGGGTCCACCTCGAAGCTGGAGATAAGCTCGGCGGACGTGTAGCTGAAGGAAGATGGGTTGGTCTCGATGACACTAGCAAAAATGGATGTCGAGTCTTCTGGCCTGACAGGTGCAAGGTAACCGTTGAGCGCAACGTGTATTGGAACCCTGCGGACAACACAACATTATCCTGCAAGGGGGAGGAAAGTGATCAGACTCCAAACGCAATGATACCATCGCAAGACTTACCTCCACAGCCCATCACCACACCATCTACTCCCAAGCCCATCGCCACACTATCTACTCCCAAGCCCATCACCCCACTTTCCAAAATCCCCGTCCTATCAAACTCGCCGACACTTGAAATGATTGTGAAACAAGTCAGAAGGCCAAGCCAAAAGGTCCTTGATATCATGAGTGCAAAAGGTACTGTCCCAAAAGGAATACAATTACCTACCCCAGAACCCATTGTGGAGGAAGGAGATATGTCGAAGGGAGAAGCTGCCACTGAGAAATTGATGGTAATTCTAGAATCAGAGGATGACCTTGCCAAATTAGTGTTAGCGCTAAGTGAGTTCACAGCTGACGCTGAAGCGTTAGAACCCACCACCTTAGCTGAGGTGAAGCGCTGTCCTGACTGGCCCCAATGGGAAGCTGGAATCTGTGAAGAACTAGCCACACTGAAGACCGCAGGGACCTGGAAGCTTGTTGATCCACCTCAGGGTGCAAACATCATAGGTTCGAAATGGGTCTTCCGTGCTAAAAAGGATGCAGCAGGAAATGTCGTGAGGCATAAGGCCTGACTAGTAGCCCAGAGTTACTCTCAAGTCCCAGGAGTGGATTATTTTGACACTTACACGCCTGTCGCCACCCTCGCAGTCTATCCGAACCGTCCTTGCACTTGCAGCTCAGCTAAACATGGAGATACATCAGATTGATATCAAAGGCGCTTATCTGAACGGAGAACTTACCAATGATGAAGTTGTTCATATGCAGTCAACCTCCTGGATTCGAATTGGCAGAGTACCCAACACAAGTATGTCACCTACAGAAAACTTTGTACATGGTTGAAACAAAGTGGAAGAAGATGGTATCAGAAGTTAGTGGAGATATTGGTGGATAAGATTGGACTTACGCAATGCAATGTCGACCAAGCTGTGTTTTTCTCACGCATTGCACCCAACGAACTTATTGTCATTGTAGTTCACATTGATGACTGCACTATCACAGCTTCCTCAATGGACCATATCACAAAGCTCAAAGACAAGATATGCGCTCACGTCGAAATTACGGACCTAGGAGAGCTTCACTGGTTACTAGGTATTAAGGTTACCCAGAACCACGACAATTGCACACTCTCCCTATCGCAAAAGGCATATCTTGAATCAATTATTCGTCGATTCAACTTTGAGGATCTGAAACCGGTATCTAACCCCATGGAGCCCAGTACAAAACTTCATTCTGGCCAATCACCAACTACTGGAGCTGAACACGCTGCCATGCACCATATCCCATACTACGAAGCTGTTGGATCACTCATGTATGCTTCTCTTAGTACCTGTCCTGACATTTCCTATGCAGTCACCACGGTATCTCATTTCTCAAGCAACCCCAGGACAAACACATTGGGATGCTGTGCATCAAATCTATCGCTACCTCCTAGGAACAGCAGACCTGAAGCTTACCTATGGAGGAGCAGAAAATATGTTGATTGGATATGCAGACGCCAACGGGAGTATGGGGGAGGATAGGAGGGCTATATCAGGATATGTGTTCCTAATAGATGGAGGAGCAGTCTCATGGTCATCGAAACATCAAGAAATTGTGTCACTTTCTACTACAGAGAGTGAGTATATCGCAGCGATGCATGCCATGAAGGAAGCACTGTGGTTGCATTCCTTCATCAGTCAACTTTTCGAACCATTCACTGAGCCTATCACTCTCTTTTCCGATAATCAATCAGCAATCACCTTAATGAAAGATCACCAATACCATGCTCACACAAAGCACATTGATGTGCATTT